ATAATGCTAGATCTATAGTTAGAAGGATTCTCAGCCAGCCTGGCTGGTGGGAATTTGGAAAAATTTAAGAGGTTCCCATTAGAAAAGTGTGCCACAATATAGTGTGTTGTATAAAAGAAGCAGCAGCTTTGCTCAAATTCTGAACTAGGCATACTTAAAAAATATAAGCAAAGAACTCAGTCCAGGATGTTTCTGCTCCAGTATTTGGCTTACTTGATTTTATTAACTTCCCATGTCCCTCCAAATGTATTATTCACCTTACCTAAAAATGTTGTACATTGTGATATGCTGTTTCCAAACGGTGTGTTTTTCTAAAACCATTTTTTTCCCCAAGGACCTATGGACAGGCCCTTTTGATTTAAGAGATCATCTAACACTATTTTTAGGACACTGTATCTTGACCTTGTTTCTCATTTTAAGATGCATCAATGGAGAATTCTGGAAGTTGAAGTCCATACATCTTGACACTTTTCCTGGCAAATTGTAGCTATGTAGATACTAGGCTTTGCCCAGTTTCCTAATGTAGTCCCCATAAGTAAATATCCTTTCTATTGTAATCAGAAGCCTTACTTCACCAATCCTTGCTCAAGTTGTTTCCCATTCACAGGTACACAAAGAAGGCTTCTCAGAACCTCCAACATGCAGAGGCAATTTCTAGGATGGTTCTAAAGAATCCCAGGACTCCAATTTCTCCATCAAAGCTCAGTTGTTCATCTGGTCCTGCCTCAGGACTTCATTGGCTGTCTCAGAGGGTTATAAGCCCAATGCATATTTTCGATTTGGCTGGGGTTGGGATAGGTTATCTTCCATTGCCAGCTAAAATTTTTAATTTCTCTGTTTTAAAGAAGCTGTTTTACCTTCTCTTTAATTATTGTACTTTTTTTACTATTTAGCATCAGCTATAGCAGGAGCATTAAGACCCTATTTATGGATATAAATTTGACAATAGTTAAATAAAAATACCCAGTGCTTTTTTTCTAAAAAGAAAAGGTGCCGGAACTCACACACGTCATACAACCCACCTTGCCTACCCTACAAGGTTCCATCCAACTCTGTTCTGGGCGTTCTATGAGAAAAAAAGCCCTGGAAATACCATATGTATCTGTTTGAACATGTGCCCTTCTATTTGTATTCAGGTCTGATGGATACATTCAGGAGCCAGGAACAGCAGTATATTTTTAAGCAGGCAATTACACTCTAAGCATTATCCACAAAGTGTCAGAATTTAGCTTCTAATGTATGCTGCTGAGCCTTGCTTGAGCTCAGAAGCTACACAGGGTCATCCCTAATTAGGACTTAGATAAAAGACCTCCAAGGAATTCCTTGGCATTAGGCTATTTTAAGGGGTGAAAAATATCACATTAGATGACAATGTGATATTTCATTACTAGTGTCAAGAAAACCAGGGTGTAACCATGAAGTTGTTAGGAGTTGAGATCAACTCAAAAGAGATTTTTTTTTTTTTTTACCAACTAATAAGTACTCCCAAAATGTGGACCAGGGATAATCAACTTGCTGTCCTAAATATTTCTTGAACAACTGTAATAAATCCAGGTTTCATGGTAAATGAAGGAGTCTACAAGCTATAGCTGAAAATTTGTCTATTCCTATTCTAATCTTATTATTATTTGAACTAGAATAGAGTTCTTTGGAATTCACACTTACTTGAAAATTGTAACATGGTTTCCTTCACGCATATAGAAATAGGGGAAAGTATTTTAGGGGCCAACAATCATAAATAATGGGTATGTTATTGAAAAATGTGCAGACATTTTTCAAAAAGATAAATTACCCATTTCTCTAGATTTGAATACATAACTGCACGTATAAATGAGAAAATTCAGTTCTCTTCTCTAAATCAGTGCTTTTCAACCTTTTCAGAGATTGTACCACTATTTTTTGATATGGCAATATTTGAGTACCACCAGTTGCCTAGCAGGTGGGTGTGGCCTGTTTGATGCCACTCACAGGACACAGCTGACTCAGAACAGCTGGGTTGGAATGGAACAAGTCACACTGGCTAACCCGCAGCTACCTCCTTCAGAGTCTTCCTGATCCCGACGGGCCTGCTGGGTGAAGTGGATGGACATACTTGCAAATTCAGCCCCAGTTATGGTGAGGAGCCGTGACTGCGCCTGGGCCTAGGGACCGAGAAGAAGGAACTGTATGGGCGCTGTGGCTGGGCTGGCTTCTGGCCCACTGGATTCAGGTTTTTCCTCTCATTGCGGGCTGGAGTGGGCTGGGCCCTAGGAAGCAGGGGCCGGCCCTTTGCTGTCTCCAGGCCATCCCCGGGCCAAATGTACACACCCCGTGGGCATGTCTATTTTATAGCCTCTCCTCTCTCCCCCTCCTCCTCTTGTCTTCAGTGTAGCTGCAACTGACTCCTTTCTCCAGGCTGCATGCTCCTTCTAGAAGCGTCAATCAGCTGGAGCCCAGCGTGGATCCTGGGTGCTCAGCAGAGCCCCAGCAACACTGAGGGTCCAGATGACTCTTTCACAGATCTGTGCTATGTTGCTGCTACTTCAGCTCATCCCTATGCTACACTTTTACACTTTTTTAATCCATTTTCTTTTTACAGTGCTTTTCAACCCATCATGCACGTACCACCTGCCAGATGCCAATGTACCACCAGGGGTATATGTACCATGGGTTGAAAAGCCCCGTTCTAGATTAGCAAATACAATCCTTTTTGAAAGTTAAAGTCTTTCTCCTCCTCCTCCTAAAATATCAGTAACTGCTACTCATTTCAATTTTAGCTTTATGAAAGAGGCTGCAAGCATGAACAGAGTGATCATGGATCCAGAACTCCCAGGCATACATTTTGTCCAAATGATAAAATCCAGAAAGGAATATTATCCTGAAATGTATAGCAGGGGCAGGCTTGTAGCAGGCACACACAGAGACTCTGCTCTTTTCGGCAGCCCTTCTTGTTGCTGGCGTTGCCAATTGCCTTTCTCCTCATGCGCGTCTGCTATGTGCACACCTGTCAGCTGGGCTCTCCATACCTCAGATCAGCTGCAGCATGCCATGGAGAGCAGTGCTGACTCGGGCAAGGCAGATGCACACATACGCTCTGCTGTTTTCAGTGGCCCTTCTTGCTACTGGCGCTGCTACTTGCTTCCTGCTTTGCCAACTTCTCATGCAAGGGGAATCTGCACCATCCACCTCCCCTCTGTGCCTTTGCTAAATCTATCACCCTGCTAGAAATGAGGTTTAGCAGGCCGAGCACGCAGGCAGAGGCATGGGGGGAGGTGGGTGGTGCAGATTCCCTGTGCATGAGATGAGGTTTTTTTTCCTGCTGCCAGATTTTTGCTGCCATACTGTTTAAGTTTCTTTAAAGTTTACTTAGGAAGGATCCGCATTCTGCATTAAGTAATCTTTAAAGAAATGTAAACAATAAGCGGTATGGCAGTGAAAATCCAGCAGCCTCCAATCTCCTTGCTTGCTGCAAAGCCAAATTGGTGTCCTCAGACCGCTCCTTCCAGCCCATTTTGGAGCTGATCCAAAAGTGAAGGGAATGTTCCCACCCCACCTAATCACTGCGGAGCTTCGTTTCCAAAAACCCTCTGCACAGGGTCCGGATAAACAGAGATCTGGGAATGAAAAAGCAGCAAGGGGAATAAAGGGTTGTTCAAAGGAGGAGGAAGGAGAAAGTGGAAGAAGTCACTACCGAACAGGCAAGGTGTGACAGGTGTTGGGGTGTGGTAGGCCTGGCTGCAGGGACCCTTCGGCACTGTAAGTGGGGAGCATGGGGCAGCTTCCCCTTCCCTCACCTGCCTTGTGGCAGTACCACCTGCTCCTGTTTGTAGAGAATCAGTTGTTAAATTGTTTGAATCTTACCACTGGGTCTACCTTTACATCTGACCAATACATAATTAATACACATTATCAGGGCTTTTTTTGTCATAGAACGCCCAGAACGGAGTTCCAGCACCTTTTTTGGATGGAACTTTGTAGGATAGGCAAGGCAGGTTGTATGATGTGTGTGAGTTCCATCACCTTTTTTTTTTTACAAAAAAGCACTGCATATTATTATTAATAATAATACCTCTGAATTACAAGACGTTGGCTTTATTCTTATTCCTCCCCTCTGCAGTTTGAATATAAAGTATAAAAGACTAAAAAGAGATTTTCGTAGACATCCCAGCCTTTGAATTACCCAAGGAATCGCTGTCAGGCAAGCTTCCATGTCAGCCGCCTTTCTTTCTTCTCGCTTTGCCTCTTTTTAACCTCATACCCCACCTTCTGTAAGGGAAGGCAAAAGGCTCACTCACCCTCTCATGAAAGATGGCCTCCATGTTTATGTGTCTCCCACCACCACATGGTCTGACCCAGCTCTGGCTGTGATGCTTTGGCACTTCATGGCTCCTCCTAGAGGAGGCAGACAGCACCAAAAGGGATCCCACTTGCACTGTACTGCCAGCAGGACATTTTCAAAAGCAAATGAGGATAGGAAGGGCAACAATAGGAAAAGAACACAACATTGGAAAATTCGTCAAAAAATGGTGCCGGAACACTATTCCGGTGCATTCTATGACAAAAAAAGCCCTGCCGGTTCAGTAATAGAAACTTGTAATTTCAAACACTGTTTAGATGGTATAACTTTTGATTTTGAAACCTCATTTCAAGTTAGGTTTGAAGGGGGAATCTTATTCATAACTGATTTAATGAAACATTCACTGTGGTAGAAGATCTTTAATAAAGAAATAACTTTTGTATACTGTCTACACAGTGTGAAAAAAAACTCTTTCTATGTCTTTTTTTTTGAAAATTGACAAAAGATAAACCTAAACCTAAACTGTTTGTTGAATTCTCACAGTCCTTCAGTTGCCATTGGATTAAAGAAATGATACTTTACAAAACAAACAAACTTTAATTTGAAAGTATACTGAACAGAATATATTTTAATTCATTAACTGTAATAAATTCAGTCATTTCATATCATGAGTCTGAACAATAAATTTTAAAGTATTAATTTACAAACAGAGTAATTCAAAACTTTGAATTTTATATATATTGTATCCAATGGACCAGTTATATTTGTTCATTTAATTCTTGTTTGTCTACAGGAGATTGTGAATCCTTATGTAGAATAACCACATTGTCACTATACAAAGAATTGTCAAATCCAGCAGAGACTTTTTGTGGTCGGCTTCTTCTTCTGTAGAAAATATAGGCTGCGATTCCTGCACCGATGGCTATGAAGATAATTGGCACAACTACCACCACAGCTGTGCCATGTGCTGTTCGAGGTGCCACTCCTTTCTGCACTGAAATACCAGAGAGAAGAAAAAGGCATTGAATACAGTTATATTATGATAAAACTCTGACATTTCTTTTTTACATTAAGAAAGAAGGCAAGAGAGATTGCATCCTATCTCGTCATCTAATAAAGGCAGAGCCAACAACAGTCAACTACCAATCCCAAGAATTTACGAAATGTAATTCAGTAAAAGGAAGTAACTGTAATGCATTGTCTTTTCCCATTCATTACAGATCCCAAAACAAATTGATACTTATTGCCTGTGGAAGATAAGTATTTTGATGTCAATAGCGAGGCTAGGAAATGTGAGTTCTTCCACAGCAAAAATAATTATGAATTGCTATGGCTATTACTTTTTGCTAATTTATTTGGGAACTGAAAATAATCAAAATTAACTGAACACAATCACAATTATTCAATCACATTAAGTGAAGAAGGAAGACTTTCAAGACTTGGTTTCAGAAATATCATCCAACTGATCTCCTCTATTGCATGGGCAATTAGGAATACAGTTTTGGACTTTGACAGTATGGAAACAAAAACGCTTAGATATCTAATGAGATTTTATATTATCTTTGATTGGTTTATTTATTTTTTAATCTTTCCCCCATATCTCTCTCTCTTTCTTTCTATTCTGCAACAAAACATGTTAGAAAACTGTCGATTCATTTTATTTTTTCTAATATATAATGATAATTTGATGATATATTGTATCTATAAAAATATAGTGGTTTATGATTGATAGCTATGATATTTGGGTAGCATTTGCCAAAATCGCAAGGTTGTCAAGAATAATATTATTTCTGATACATTCTGAGAAAAGAAAATGGCAACTGGGAGCCATCTCAGGGATCTTCATGGCTTTCATTCTATTAATATAGGAAAATTATGTAAAAAAAATTAAATATTGTAACTTAACAATTTAGTGGAGATAGTCTTCATAACGCTAAATACATTCTGTTATCATCTAACTCTTTCAATCGACAAAAATATGTTCTTCTATATTTGAACTATGTATTAGAATTTTCTCAGCTTCAGAGCTGAACTTTAAAACTTTACTGAACTTTAAAAATAACATTCTTACCTCTTTTAAAAGTACTTTCTTACCTGGTATTTCTGTAGGCTTTACAGCTGATTCGTCAATAACTAGAAAATAATCAAATATCTTTTCAGTATGTAACTACTGTATATGCATTACCGCACCCCACAAAGTTAACTATGAAGGATATGCAAGGCAAATTTAAAAAAATGAATTCTCTGAATCACATATAATTCACCATATTTTTACAGTGAAACTTTATGAGTCCAGAAGAATTATACACTATAGGATAATGTCAGGTTTTTTTCAGAAATATTTGGATTTCCATTAAAAGTTGATATTGTTTGATATAAATCTGAGTTCATGGGATATTCATTAGCTTAATGAAACTTTCTTGACTGTATTTAAAGCATCTTTCAGAAATAATTAAGAATGAAAGTAATATTTTAGTCTGCAGGTAGAATAGATAACTAAAAATACAAAATGTCAGAAGTAATAACAGATACAAAGCAATCCAAAGTTTCCTACTTTCGACATTTGTCTAAAATATTATGAAATACACTTTAGGTAGCATTATCCTTGGCTGTTGATATTTTATTTAGTTCTGTGACCTGTGAGTACGGGACCAATTCATTAATGCTATAAAACAGTTGACATAATAAATAAAGGGCAGAAAATGATGCAAAGGAAATTTTTTCATTAAGCTTTTATCAGTTGTTAAAATATATTATCTATATTAAAATATGATATTCAATTACTGGTATCAAAAATTAATATATTTTTCAATTTATTCTACTTTTACTCAAACTATTTTATTTCAGATAATAAATTATTTGAAACAGAAATTAAATAAGGAGAAAAATGATAGAAAGGAAGGAGAGAGAAAGAAAGAAAGAAAGAAAGAAAGAAAGAAAGCCAGATGATGTATTTTATAGTAAATAAATTATAATTAACAGTCAAAAAAATAAGAAAAGATATAAGAAAATTAATAATACCAACAAAAGATGATAACAATAGATCAAGATGGGATCTCTTAAAACAGTGGTTCTTAACCTGTGGGTCGGGACCCCATTTGGGGTCAAATGACCATTTCACGAGAGTCGCCAAACAATGCAGTCCGCCATTTTTTCCCCTTTTCCTTAGCTGTGCTACTCCCTTTTATTCTATTGGCTTTTGAAAGCCAATAGAATAGACTCTCTTGAATAGAGTCTAATTCTATTGGCTTTCAAAAGCCAATAGGAATTGTCCAGGCTGTCTCTGCCCTGCTGAGCCCGCCAAAAGTCCCATTCTGCAAACGGTGCTGCACTAGTTGAGTAGTCCTCGACTTACGACTGGTTGAGTAGTCCTCGACTTACGACCAGTTGGGGGTCGCGGCATTAAAAAGGTTGAGAACCACTGTCTTAAAATATGTTGCTAGAAAAATCCGTTCATCAAGAAAACTTTTCAAATATCCTTGGATATATTTAAAAAGTATCCAAGGAGTATTTTCGGAAACTGTAATTTAATGCAGAGGTCCCCACTACCAGGCCTTGAGCTGTTTGAAACTAGGGTTTGGAAGTGGTGAGCGAGCACGCCAGCCAACATGCATCCCTACTTGTGTAAGCAGCCAACAAGCACTTGGGCTCACACATTCCATTTGCATGAGCAGCAGGTACAAATGAAGCTGTGTATACACGCTTGCCCTCTGCTCACATGGAACCTCCCCCCCTTCCTGGTTGGTCTGCAAAGCCAGAAAGGTCAGGAAACTCTGATTTAATGTCTATTCAGTACACAAATAATATTTTCAATCTAATATTATGATAAAAATCATAACAAGGCTCACTTTTGTTTATTTTACAAATAAATGATTTTGATGGATAATAATGGCAGTTCTCAGGGAACCAAAATCCAGTTTTAGTATTCATGTAAACGCATCTGCTCCCAAAGGCCTCTTTTTTATCATATTGTCCATCGTCTTGGTTATTCCAGTTGACAAAAGCGACTTCACTTTTATCTTGCCATAGCCATTCGCCTAAAGATAAAAGAAATATATAGCATAATAATTAAAAAGAAAAAGAACTACATTGTGATGAAAATATATATCCTATGGCTTTTTCCCCTAAAATTTCTTTAAGCTCTGAAAAATTAGCCCTCTATAGACACATAGACATAAACAACATCTACATACTGTGCAAAAGAGACAATCAACAAGCCAAAAAGGGAACAAAAACACCAAAACCCTCCTGACCAGCAATCAATACCTAGATGAGCATAGGTTAACACCAAGATTAACCTCAGACTAACAGTCAAGTAAATAATACCCCAAAGAAGGAACTGCCAAATAAGCTAATAATAAACACCCAACCAAAAACCTCCAAGACCAGTCCCACCAACGCCGATAGCAGAAGTCACTAGAATATAAATTGAGAGCAAACCCCATCCTTGCTAGCACTGATTTTGTTACATATTTTGGGTAATGAAACATCTACAAGAAAAAAAAAACAAGTTCAGAGCCCCCTCATTTCAACTCTGAACTACAAATAATCTCCTTAATCAATAACCTCTGTTCTGATATTTCTGTTCTGAAAGTTGTTATTTCGAGAATTGGACATTCTTTTCTTCTTCTCTTGGGCTTGATTTGTAATAACAGATCATTATTTCTTTGTCTTGCAATGAATAAACAACTTTTCATCCAGCAATCCTGCAGCTGTTGGCTCTGAGTTACTCAGCCAACAGTCCTGAAGTCCATTTGTCATGAGATATCCAGAAACTCTATCACTAAATGTGATCCTTTTGGTCCAGGATGATAACTGATCTGGTATGGGTTTCTGTAAATCATATCTTACCATATTCTTTATGGGAGAGACATTCTTTGTCCAGCATCTCTGATAAGACTTGTCTGGTATGATTGAATATCTGGCATATCTCTCATCTTCCCCAGTGCTCACAAGCCCCCAAACCATATCAAGGCAGTGTTTCACTAGAGGATTATTATTAGTAGCCATAAAGATAAATATTAGTTAAATAATTACCTTCCTGATTACTATACATGCCTATCCAAAAATCCCTAGATCCAAATATTTCCATTTCTTCCTGTAAAAACTGTAATTCAGCTGAGTTTTTGATTGAAGTCAAGATACCACCTATGAAACATGAGATGATCAAGGAAGCTCATTAACTGGTTCAATCCCCAGCCCACCAAAATAGAAGCCATTGCACAAGGCATAACCATTGAGTCATACCCATCACAAGTAATGAGTTCAGGTTTGAATATCTTAAAGAAGCAAATAGTCCTCTGTTTCTAAAACTTATTAGATTTGTATTGCTTAATATGTTTATGATGACATACCATTGCAGCTTATCCTTTGGGTATAATGATACAGAAGTTAAACCTGATAATTTAACCAAACATTCTGCAAAAAGAGTATTCTGCACAATGTACAGAACGACAAACTTCTGTTCTAAGTTCTCCAAAGTATTTGAGAAGCCCCACCCCAAAGAGAAAGAACAAAGAAAACTAAGTATTCTAAAGTAGTTGATATTTCAAAATATTCTATATTTATAAATTGCTTTAAAAGGATTAGAATTATTGCTTTCCAATATCATGTATGCAATTCTTTTTTAAAAAGAAGATATTAAAATAAATTCACTTATATCATATGCAATTTGGAGGGCACATGTGTCATTATCTATAAAAACAAAACAAAATTATGGCAAACAATAAAAGATAAGTACCCAGGCACACTCTGTGTTTTGCTTGAAGGCTCAATACAGATGTGTCATAGAGTCATAATATCAAAGAGCTAGAACTGACCTTAGAGGTCTTCAGGTCCAATCTCCTACCCAAAGCAGGATTCATTCAAAAAAATGTCTAATCTCCAGTAATGGAGCACCCTAAACCTGGGAGGCAAGCTGTTCCAATGGTTAATTGCTCTCACTTTTCTAAGTGGGATCTTTATTTAACAAACTTCCATTCATCACTTCTAGTCCTAACATTAGGTGCTTTGAAGAATAAGTTTCATATCTGAAACTGCCGCACAAGTACTAGAAGACAGCTGTCATGTCACCCCTTGTCTTTCTCTTTGTTGGCTTAAGGGACTTAATCTAGTGGCAAATGCTATATAACTTTTCATCCCACCAGAGGATTTTGCTCAATGGAAACCTTCCTTTTAGTAATTATTTTCAGTAGATGTGAAAAATAAAAAGATATTTATTTCTCTTTGCATTATATTCATTCTATAAGGTATTTTCTTACATTATCAGTGTGTTCTTTGAAGAGCTTCATGTGGAATATAATACGATAAAAATTGGAGAGGATGGCTGAATTTGACACAGATTGTGTATTCAAAATCACTGTAATATAAATACTGTAAATATAGACCCTAAGGATGAAAAAGTACTGTTATTATTATGTAGCTCAAAATGATGCTAACCTGTCTGAGTACACTTCAGGTTTGCTGATGACCAAGGTTCTCTTGAAAGGTAAAATTTATAGCAATGATCTCCAAAAGGAATCCAAGGTTCATGTCTGTTTTGGGAGGTTTGGCATTTTCCTGCTGATTGTGGCTTTTCAGTTGGCACTATTCCTGTTATGAAACAAATAGGTTTTCATTATTAAAAAAATCCATACATCAGCAACTAGCGACTCACAAAATTATTACAAATATTATTAATAATAACTAGTAACATTAATAAATAAGCAATAGCTAGTGAAATAATACATAAGATATAACAAATTTGTCATTTTCTGATTGAAAATTATTAGATCTACTATTTTTAAAAAAATTAGCTTATCACTCTGTTGATGCATGCCACTTTATAGTATTTTGGCATTAACTTTTAAATTAAATTAAAATATAAACTCTATTAAAATAGACATATTAATTTACTTACCATTGTATCTTTCGCAAACAGAGAAGTATTTGTCACTGCAATTTCCTGTTTTCCAATAACCATTAATGTCTAGGTAGACACAGGCTGTTTTATGCATTGGTTCTTCAGCAGCCCAGTTAGTGTACGCCAGCCTCCAGTTACTTACCCACTTGTACACACCATTACTCTAAAACCAAAGTGCATTAGGGAATAATTACAGGAAATGCAAGGAAAAGTATTTTTCATTTAATTTCACTATAGCTAGTCCTCACTTAAAAACTTTAACTGGGACAGGGGTTTTACATTGCTAAATAAAGCACTCATTAGGTGAAAATCATGTGAAGTATTAATACCACTTTATAATGCCTTGATAAGATCACACTTGGAATATTGCATCCAGTTTTGGTTACCACAATATAAAAAAGATGTTGAGGGCCTAGAAAAGTGCAGAGAAGAGCAACAAAGATGATCCGGGGACTTGAGACTAAAACATATAAAGAACGGCTGCTGGAATCGGCTATATCTAGTTTAATGAAAATAAGGACTAGGGGTGACATGGTAGTGTTCCGATATTTGAGGGGCTGCCACAAACAAGAGGGGAATCAATCTATTCTCCAAGGCACCTAAAGGAAGGACAAGAAGCAATGGATGGAAAATAATCAAGGAGAGAAGCAACCTAGAACTAAGGAGAAACTTCCTGACAGTTAGAACAATTAACCAGTGAATGCTCCAACACTGGACGTTTTTAAGAAGAGACTGCACAACCATTTGTCTGAAATGGTATAGGGTTTCCTGCCTGAGCAGGGGTTGGAATAGAAGACCTCCAAGGTTCCTTCCATCATCATCATCATCGTTGTTGTTGTTGTTGTTGTTTTATAAATTATATAAATTATAATTTAATAATTATAGATTTTTTTCAAATGCATTCTTCCAATAGGGTAATGAGGCTAAACCATTTTATGTCAGGTGCCTCATTTAGTGACTGTTGGCACTTACAGCAGTGATGAAAAATAATCTTTGCATTTACGACCTTTGCAGATCAGTAAAAACAAAGGGAAGTGAAAGAAAGATCATGAACGGAGCTGCAGTTTCATTTAGTGGCCTTTTTGTTTAACAATAAAGTTGCTAGTCCCAAATATGGCTGCTAAACAAGGGACACAAGGGACCACTTGTCTTCAGTTCCTTATCTGTGTGACAATGTTTCCAAGTATGCAATTTTAAATATAGGACTTCATTGTGAACGTGTAATTCTGTTCTTACCTCTTTGCTCCTTAGTCCAATCCATACAGGCTCCTTATATTTGAGCACCTGCAGCCATACGAATGATTCTGCATAGGGGTCTACAATGCTGGCAAGTTTTGAATTTTCAGATTCACATTTCTTCCTTGCTTCTTCCCAGGTCATCTTGGGACTAACCATAGAGTAGCTGCTATTTCCATAACTGATAAAGTGAGATGCTGGAATTGTTGGTTCAAAGTAAGGCGATGGACCTATTTATATATATATATATATATATATATATATATATATATATATATATATATATATATATATATATATCAGTCAAGACTGCACTCAGTTCTAAAAATGAATACTGCTTTCATTTGATTCTGAAAACCCTTAATATTTAATTTCTATCTTTTCTTAGAATATTCTCTCAGTTCCACACCACAACAACACTTCATACAAAGTCAAGAGCACATTAAACAAATAGGTATAGTGAATCACTTTAAGGAGACCTTCTTATTGAAAATTTTTATAAACTTTTTAAAATAAAATACCCCCTCCCATCCCATAACCCTCCCCCCTCCTTCCCAGAGCTGAATACAGGGTTAAAGAAACAAAAAAAAACATACATTAAAAACATTAAATTAACATCAATCCACTATACATACATCCAAAAAGATTTAAAGTACTTTAACTCCAATACATAAAACTACAAATCCAACCATATCCAATTTAAACTATAAATTATTCAAAAGCTAAATAATACTTCCTAATCCCATATTTATTCTGTACAAAATTTACCCATCTTTTCCACACCGAAATATATCTCTCTTGTGAATGGTCTTTCAGATAAGCCGAAATATTTGCCATTTCTGATAAATGAGAAACTTTGAGAAACCATTCTTCTATAGTAGGCAAGGAATCCTGCTTCCAATATTGCCCAATCAACAACCTTGCTGCCGTAATAAAATTTAACATTAAGGTAATCTCTTTAACATCACAGTCTACAATAATACCTAACAAAAATAATTGTGGTGTAAATTTTATCCTTCTATTAAAAATCTTCTGAATGTTCCACCAAATCTTAATCCAAAAAGCCTTTACATTTCTACATGACCACCAAATATGATAGTACGTTGCATCCAGACAACCACATCTCCAACATTTGGGCTGTACATTCGGATACATACGAGACAACTTTTGTGGATCAAGGTGCCACCTATAAAACATTTTATAAAAATTTTCTCGTAAGTTTTGAGCTTGAGTAAATTTAACATTCCTCACCCAAATTATCTCCCATGTATCTAATAAAATTGGCTCTTCAAAATTCTGAGCCCATTTAACCATACAATCTTTAACTAATTCTGTTTCTGAATCCAATTCCACTAAAGCATTATAAACTCTTTTTATATGAGTTCTACTTAGATCTTTAATTTATTTCATCAAATTCACATCTTCCATAGTAAAACCCACTTTTTGATCTATACTCCATCTTTCTAATAATTGCCTATACTGGAACCAAGAATAAATAATATTCTCCAGCATGATTGGATGGAGAACCCACGGATGGGTTGTCTTAATCTATTTGCTCCAATTAGACTAAGTCTGAAATTTAGTACCGCCCCCTCTGTGCCAACTGCACCCCAGTTTTAGACTTAGTCTCTTTGCTCTAAGACGTGTTTTATTATAAATTAAATACGCATGCCATCCAAATAATAAATCCCATCCCTCCAAAGAAAGTATATTTGAATTTGTTAAGTTAACCCAATCACTAATCAACATTAAAACCACCGCATCATAATACAATTTCAAATTCGGCACCTTGAGTCCACCTCTCTCTCGAACATCTTGTATAATTTTAAGCTTAACTCTTGGTTTTTTCCCAGCCCAAATGAATCTATTAATACTCTTCTGCCATTCTTCTAAATTTATCTCTTTCTTTAAAATGGGTATCATTTGAAACAAGAAAAGAAATTTTGGCAGAACATTCATTTTAACTGCAGCAATTCTCCCTAACAAAGATAATTGCAATTTTTTCCAATCATTCAAATCCTTCTGCATTTTAAGCCATAACATTTCATAATTATTTTTATACAATTTTACATTAGAAGCAGTTATATAAACCCCCAAATATTTTACCTTTTTTACAATTTCAAAACCTGTCAAATTAAATAAAATCTCCTTATCCGAATTAGACATATTTTTAGATAATATTTTAGTCTTATTATTATTAACTTTAAAACCAGAAACTTGCCCATACTGATTTATAATCTGTAACAACTCCAATACCGAATAGGTTGGTTGAGACAAAGTAACAACCAAATCATCAGCAAAAGCTCTTAATTTGTAATCTTTCTTGTTCATCATTATTCCCTTTATTTTAGATGATTCACGAATTTTAATCAACAAAATTTCTAATGTTAAAACAAACAATAAAGGGGATAATGGACATCCCTGTCTTGTACCCTTTCCAATTTGAAAAACCTCAGATAAACCTCCATTAATTATAAGTTGCGCCGATTGTTTGTTTGATCAGTATGTATCACTTGATTCAATACAATCATAAGTCTATTTGCTAAATTTTTTGAAAAAATTTTGTAGTCTATATTCAAAAGAGATATAGGTCTATAATTTTTAGGTAAAGTAAGATCTTGATCCTCTTTTGGAATAAAGGAAATAAAAGCCCTTCTCCAAAATGGAGGTGTGTCTAAAGATATACATGTAATATTATACCTTCTTAAGGTATAATATTACATGTATATCTTTATTTAGCCCAAATGTGTGAATTCATGAACTCAGGACATCCATTTGAATACTAGTACCAGTAAAATTATAAACTTATATATTCAGGCTATTAGAAATTTCAGTCTAGATATTGGTTTCAAAAACAATAGCAGGAGAGAGCTTTTGTGTGTGTGTGTGTGGAATTACATTTGGCCTTTTGGCCAAATAATTAATTCAATGCTACTAAAAGCCTTTATACTGGGCTTCAGATATTATGTTTATTGGTTCACTTTATTTAAATACTTCCTGAAGTTGATGGTACTGTTATTTAAGTTTACAATTTCCTTCACTATGTACTTTCTTGATTAGCATATCTGGCTTGTTGCAATCCTATTTGGCTAAACATGTTTGTTCACCTAAGTTTTTCTTTTTATATATATAATTTTTATTGAAACTTTTTAAAAAGATGATAAAATCTAACACAAACTAACATAATTAAGGAAGAAGAAATAAAAGGAAAGAAATCAAGCAAAAATGAAAATTCAAGAAAAGAAAAAGAAAAAAGTTGAAGAAAACTAGGAAAGAATATAAAGAAACAGATTCCAATGTTCTTCATACCAATTATAACTACATATATCTATGCTTATATATGCTTAACCTCTCTGTCTACATAAAGTTGCATCATAGATCCTTTCTAGAACCTATCCTATCTAATCATCAAACTCATAGCTCACAAATTCATTTTTTTCAAATTCTCATACTAAGCTATGGACGATAATCTAAATCGTAGTTCTAATTTTTTAAATGGCGGGGGGGAGCAGATGGTTTGTACAAGCGGCTGGCAAGTGGGTCCATGTGCAGGTCCATTTGTGCAAGCAGCATCTACTTATGCCTGTCGCTCATGCAAATGGAGTGCATGTGCTTGCCCACTGTTCATGCAAGGATGCCTGTACATCTGCACACACTCATCACATGTTTCTATAGCCCAGTTGTAAACCTGTCATAGCACACTAGTGGGCCACAGCCTACAGGTTGGGGACTCCTGATCTAAATTATTCTCTGAAATTGAATTATTATCCAAGACTTCTATAAACTTACCAGTGTTTTTTTGGCAGATGTAGCTCCTCTGGGAAGAACAGGATCCAACTCTCCAATATCCTGCAAGCCTTTCAGGTTTTCTCATCATAAAAACGCAGTCACCCTACAATATTTAGGCATAACAAGAAAGCCAAATACAATCACTGGTATCGTGATTGGAACAGTCTTTCTGGAATCCTTCCTTTATAATCTCAAAAGAGAAAAAATATTTTTTTTGTTTGTTTCTGGTAACTAAATAAGATGATCACCATATGGCTAGCTGTCATTTAATAATAATAATAATAGGACTTGTAATAATAGTAGTAAAGTTGGAAGGGACCTTGGAGGTCATCTAGTCCAACCCCCTGCTTGGGCAGGAAACCCTACACCATTTCGGACAAATGGCTGTCCAGTCTCTTCTTAAAAACTTCCAGTGTTGGAGCATTTACTGCTTCTGGAGGCAGGCTGTTCCACTGATTAAATGTTCTCACTGTCAGGAAGTTTCTCCTTAGTTCTAGGTTGCTTCTCTCCTTGATTAGTTTCCACCTGTTGCTTCTTGTCCTGCCTTCAGGTGCTTTGGAAAATAGCTTAATTCCCTATTCTTTATGGCAGCCCCTGAGATATTGGAATACTGCTATCATGTCCCCCCTTGTCCTTCTCTTCGTTAAACTAGACATACCCAATTCTCGCAACCGTTCCTTATATGTTTTAGCCTCCAGTCCCCTAATCATCTTTGTTGCTCTTCTCTGTACTCTTTCTAGAGTCTCAACATCTTTTTACATCGTGGTGACCAAAACTGGATGCAGTATTCCAAGTGTGGCCTTACCAAGGCATTGAAGAGTGGTATTAATACTTCACGTGATCTTGATTCTATCCTCTGTTAATGCAGCCTAGCACTGTGTTGGCCTTTTTGGCAGCTGCAGCACACTGCTGGCTCATATTTAGGTGATTGTCTACTAGGACTCCGAGGTCCCTCTCACAGTTACTACTATTGAGCATGGTGCCACCTATGCTGTACTTGTGCATTTGGTTTTTCTTGCCTAAATGTAGAACCTTGCTTTTTTCACCATTGAATTTCATTTTGTTAGGTAGTGCCCAGTGTTCAAGTCTGTCCAGATCCTTCTGTATCTGAAGCCTGTCTTCTGGAGTGTTGGCTATTCCTGCCAGCTTGGTGTCATCTGCAAATTTGATGAGTTCCCCATCTATCCCTTCATCCAAATCGTTGATGAAGATGTTGAAGAGTACTGGGCCAGAACAGAGCCCTGGGGCACCCCACTACACACTTCCCTCCATATAGATGCAGTTCCATTGAGGACCACTCGCTGAGTACGGCCGGTCAGCCAGCTACGGATCCATCTGGTGGTGGTTCTGTCTACCCCACATTTTTCTATCTTGTCAAGTAGTAGGTTGTGATCTACTTTATCAAATGCCTTACTGAAGTCCAAGTAAATTATGTCCACAGCATTCCACAGCATAATTTGTCATTGTGTCCTATACAGTCTAGCACAGAAGCATCCTGAAGCATATACAATAGAAGCATATTGAGCCTCTATCATTGGATGAAATCTTTTATTTGAAGGAAGATGCTGCCATAGGCTATAGTGTGAATCTGAAGACTGTAGCAAGCTTTTTGTGTTATGCATTCTAAACCTGGCAGGATCTCTTCTTCTTCATAATTATTTTAATTTTATATATTTTTTATTTCTATAGATTTTTTTATTTTAAATTTCATTATACTGAGTCTTTGTTTCTTTAAGTGAGTGTTGCCAATAATAAAATTCTCCAAAAAATAATAACATGCATGGCATATTTTTCATCTATATGTAGAGAGATAGGAATATCACTGATTTTTTTCAGTATTGTATCACCCTCTATTGATGAGAAAGCACAGCAGACTTAATTTAACAAACAGAAAAGATCTGAAATATCACCCTAAAAGGTAGGTCTCAAGGACCTCTTATTTTACATTTAAGGTATTCATTTTACCTCTGAAAATCCCATAGAAAGTTTCAGACAGGGTGCTCCTAAACTGCCTAAGGCAAACTAAACACTTGTGGTGAACACAAGTTTAGTGTACACAGTTGAAGGAAAGTTGGAGGGAGTTAAACGTGAAACTGGATACATTCTCCTAGTGAAACTCTTAACCCATTGGCAACTTAAAAGAAAAAGATAGAAAAGAAAACTCTCTTTTGAAAACAACTTTGCAATTCTAACTACTTAGTTTAATTAATGTGTTTTGATGCTTAGATTGAATTCTGAACTCAGATTACCTTTTCCCCAATAAGGGCTCTTTATAATCTCTTCACAGTCATAATGCTTGTTCTAGATCTGGTTTATTCATTTATTTATTCATTCATTAAAATCATATATATATATATATATATATATATATATATATATATATATATATATATGTCTTTGGTTGTTCGGGTTTTCTCCCGCGTAACATTGGAAGTGTCTTGGCAACGTTTCGACGAAGTCACATTCGTCATCTTCAGGCTGGTGTTTTTAGCTTCTTGCTTTGAGCAGCAATGTGTGGTTTTAGCTGTTTCTTCCTTTTAACTGCCAGTGAGGGTATGAACTGATTGGGTGGGAGCTTGGCTGTGTTCTGATTGGGTGGAGGTGTGTTCTGAATGGTTAGGGGCTTGGCTGTGCTCTGATTGGCTGGGGGAGTGTTCTGTTTGGTTGTGCTCAGGTTAGTCTGAGTTGCAGAGGGGTTTAAGAAGCTAACAACCAACTTCCCTTCCTGGATGTCTTAGTCTACAAGAAATCCAATGGCTCCCTAGGACACACCATCTACCAGAAGAAAACACACACAAACCGCTATCTGCACGCTCTCTCACACCACCACCCAGCACAGATCAACTCTGTAGCCAAGACACTCATCTCCAGAACAAAACGCTTAGCTGACGAACAACACCTAAAACCCGAACTACACACTCTCACCAATGTACTAACATCCAATGGATTCCATAGAAATAAGATTACAAACCTAATCCAAAAAGAAACCCCCACTAAAATCCAAGACAAAGAACAAGAAAACGGCAAAGCCCTCCTCCCATACATAAAAGGCACCACAGACAGAATCAGTAAGATCCTCCATAAACACAACATCAAAACAGCATTCTGCACAAACAGAAAAATATCCACCATCCTTAGAAACCCCAAAGATAAAATTGAATTAGAAAATCAAGGAGTATACGAAATCCCATGCACCACTTGTCCCACCACATACATCGGACAAACCAACAGAAGAATAAGTGCACGCATTGAAGAACATAAGAACTCAGTCAAAAAAGAGGAACCAACATCTTCCCTGGTCCAACACCTTAAAGCCACAGGACACGAAATTGACTTTAAAAATACCAGAACCATTGCCAAAAGTGAACATTTTAATAACAGAATAATCAGAGAAGCCATCGAGATAGAAAAACGCCCACACAGCATGAACAAGCGAGATGATACCTCCCGCCTACCAGCCATTTGGAAACCTGCCCTTATTGACAAACGACTCCCTAACCCCAAAATCTTAAACCCCTCTGCAACTCAGACTAACCTGAGCACAACCAAACAGAACACTCCCCCAGCCAATCAGAGCACAGCCAAGCCCCTAACCATTCAGAACACACCTCCACCCAATCAGAACACAGCCAAGCTCCCACCAATCAGTTCATACCCTCACTGGCAGTTAAAAGGAAGAAACAGCTAAAACCACACATTGCTGCTCAAAGCAAGAAGCTAAAAACACCAGCCTGAAGATGACGAATGTGACTTCGTCGAAACGTTGCCAAGACACTTCCAATTTTACGCGGGAGAAAACCCGAACAACCAAAGACCTATATACAAATACCCGCGAAAACCTCAGAAAACAAATATATATATATAATGCTAGCACAGTCTAGGAACCACGTGCAGACGTCTATGGAACCCGTTTGAATCACCTTGTTAGAAACGGTCTCTCAGCCCTGAAGATGTTGGGGAGTTTTCCCAACGAAAGCTTGGCAACCTTTTAATATAGTAAAATACTTTAATTGAAGTATTTTAACTTTAAACTCTCCTGGTGAACGCGCTTTATTCATTCCATTTATATATATATATATATATATATATGATTAGAAATAAAAACAAAAATGCGACTCTTGGGAGTATTCATATTGTCAAAATAATGATCACCAAGAGAATATCTATCAAAAATAGAATTTAATCCACCAAGCTTTCGTCAAATACATTTGACATCGTCAGGGTTAAAAGGCAAACGCCAGGGGAAGTCTTATATACAGTTGTTTAATGCCTGTTTCCGGCTCCTGGAGCATGTCATCGGCCCCAGCTGATCGAGTTGAGTCCGAAGCACATGCCCCACATCAGCACCTATCCTCTAAGGGGAGGAGGGGAGGAGGAATAGCATGGGCTGTGACTATGAGCCTGCGTTACAACCCTGAGGGATAGATAAACAAGATCAAAGTGGTCTTGGGGCTTGCAGGGATATTGGAAGCAATTTAAATAATTGCCCACCCCCGCTCCCTAAGGGAAGCCGTGTGTGGGATGGTGGGGGAGTTATGAGCAGGGGAGGAGAAAAGATCCTGACCCCCAACCTGACGAACCCTGAAACAGCTAACGGAGTAACGTATGACAGAATGCAAATTAGCAATGGAAAGAGGATAGGTGCTGATGTGGGGCGCGTGCTTGGGACTCAACTCGATCAGCTGGGGCCGATGACACGCTCCAGGAGCCGGAAACAGGCATTAAACAACTGTATATAAGACTTCCCCCGGCGTTTGCCTTTTAACCCTGACGATGTCAAATGTATTTGACGAAAGCTTGGTGGATATATATATATATAAAATCAATAAATAGTTGAACACCAAGAGAATAAAATTATACAAAAGTTAAAAATGTTAAAACTTTTATTTACTAAACCTAGCTTTCGTCAAGAGCTCTTGACATCATCAGGGTGTAAACAGCAGTCGTTGGGAGGGCTTATATGCAGCCTCCAATCATTTGCGCTCAGCTCTTAGATCGTGTCATAGGTCCCAGCTGTGTGCGTTGTAATCCAAGTGTGTGTCCTGCATTAGGGTGTAGTTGTTTCCAACCCTTTCTACGTGTGCTGTTACGTGTGTCTTTCTCGCTAGTTCTAAAATTAGCTGGGGTGTTTCCCCTTTCCTTACAGTTAGTACATGTTTCACTAGTTTCCCATTTGTGATTCTGTCTGTCATGGGCAGTAGTTGCTGTTTTCTGCTTCCTTCTAGTTCCTCCAACCATCCCCTCCGAGCCACATTCCAATCCTCCTTTTCTCTCAGATCTTAGCCCCCGTGTGCCATCCCGTCCTGCACCGCTCTCCCTCCTATTCCTTTCCATCACTCCCTTAGATCTATCATCACTCTCCTCCCTATATCCTTGGGAGGAGTCGTTCTGGAGTGTGTGCCTGTCAGTAAGGCATTGCCTAGCTCGTAACCGGTCAATCCGTTGCTCACTCCATTTGGGGCTTCTGTCCTCATCCCTCATCAGAGAATCTCCCAGGCACGCTCCGTTCATAGTCTTCTGTCCTCCCAAGGGATCAATCACCACAGAGCTATTCCCCTCCCTCTCACAAACCAGCCCAACTAGCGTAATGAGGGTGTCTATTTCACTATGTTTCACTATGTACTTGCATAGCTGATATATATATGCTGTTCACCTACCTGAACTTTTTGTCAAGACCCAAGATTAAACCAATGTAAGAATTATAATATGTAATTCCATAATGAAAGATCTATCACATAAAAGAAAGAATAAGAAATAAAAATAGTTATTTACTGCTTTAATATAATGATAATTTGCAAATCATATTAAAAAAAGCAACTAAACATAAAATAAATGGCATGATTTTGAAATTTGCTCTGCTTTTTAACAATGTAGTACTCTTTGAAAATTCATTTGAGTAAAAGATAGCATTTAAATTATTGTGTTTTTTAAATGATTGGTTTTGAACTAAGTTGACTGCATTAAACTTCCATTGATGTTAATTTAATGGGCCTCCTCTTAATATATATTTTATCTCAAAGTTAAAAGGAAATTCTTCAGTTTCTGAAAACATCTGGCTATCTCTCTCACACACACACACACACATTATACATACACACATATATACACATAAACATGTACATTTTCTGAAACCACTTATTTTGAATAAGTAATTATTGCATATAATTCTTACATATTTCCACAAAAACTGGTTTTCCTTTGAACTTTCAATGGTAGTAAGATCACCACCATGTTGTTTGCAGAATGTCTGGGCTTTTTCTGCTGGCATTGTTGTATTACTGAAATAATACTCATTGTTTTCAAATTCAATCCAACCATCTTCAACCTTTTTATAACTACGTGCTGCAAAAGTAGAAGAAACAACTTATATATCTAGGATCCCTTTGCAGCCATCCCAGAAATCCACAAAGCAAAAAGTGCCACTTGAAGATTCCACGCTGTCCTTTTGGGCAAAGCTCTTCTTTCCAAGCTCTTCTGAATATGAATAAGCACATCCAAAATACACATCCATTGCTGGCAAACTGACCTCAGCTGAGTGCTTCCAATAGCTGGAAGAGGCTTCTATGCAAATATTCCAGAATATACAAATGTCTCTTCTGGGTATTAGATTCACTAGGATGAATCATAGGAAAAAGCAGCAAAGCAATGAGGAGGCCATTTTAATTTGCTTTCAGAAGTAGCAGGAAAGAGGATGGGTTGTTGCCTTATGCAACTGCTTACATCACTTGATTTAGTCAAATCACTATCCAATGCAACCACTTCATCAAAGCTCTGCATATTAGGGAATATTTTTTTTAAATGTCCAATGATTTCTTAAGGCTATGAAACATGCCCTACTTTTTAGTAACACCTCTTTGGCTACAGCCATACTTCTACATATGTTTGGGAAGCCTCTACTCAATTAATGCCTGTTAAGAGAAAGTCAATCACACCATGGCACTTTCCTTTCACTTAAGAAAACTCACAATGTCAATAGCTTTATACCATCCAGAGCGAGCATCTGGATTTTTTCAATGCTTTGGGAAATTGGTCTGCTTACAAACTCAACCATCATGCATCACATTTTAGGAATATTTCTTTATCTCATACAGCCAAATTTAGCTCAAAACAGTCTGATTCAAATCAAACTAAAATACAATGCACAATCATGTACATATTACATATAACATTATATGTATATACTACATATAACATTTTTGACATTAAATTGCCCAACCTACCAAAGTCGTCAACTGGTTCTGTATTTAAGGTTGTACCTGCAAAATTAAATATTTTAGTTACAACAAATTCAAACCTAACCTTATGACATTACTCCATTTTGCAAAAAGCAATCCACAAAAAGTAAAATGTTGTACTATCTTTACAAAATGTATTTCTATCTTTACAAGCAAATAAAATCATAGAAATATGAATCTAGGTTTTCCCCAAATCCAGATGGCCCTCATTTTTGAAAGAGCCAAAAAAGCCTGGCTCTTCACCAATTCCTTTGGCAAGGAAGTGTGAGATCATCTTACTTTATTGCACTTGCCATCGTTTATTGCGTTTATTGTAGTTTCTGTGTTTGATTCTTAGGAGCCCAGAGTCATTTAAAATCAGGCAACATAAAGGTTTAATAAATCATTAATATTGCAACTATTATTACAAAATAATTTTTTTGCATCAATAATGCCAAAATTCTTGACATCATGTAGTCATATTTAACATTGTACTGTGCTACTTAAATAGTCATATATACGAATATAAAATCTTCAGTCTTAAAAGGAAAAGTGAATTGTATTTAAGACCCCCAAATTCATCCCTCAAAAGGGGACCATCGTGAATGCTAAAAATCAAGGCTTACTGTTGTCTGTCCTAATAAAATATGTGACAATGAAAATCATATTACCTTTTGTAATTTGACAGATCCAATAATTTAACTGCCAGCATTTCCTTGCTGACCAATATCTAGTACTTCCCCATATTATTGTGCATCTTTCACTTTCACTTTCTGAATGCCAAGGAAATATTGGTTCATAGTTTACCTACAGTAAAATTAAAATATATTTAGATATTTACTTTTTAAAGCCATAAATTTTAACATTTGGAAAAAGAAACAACTGTACCAAAACAGTGGAACAGTTTGCCTCCCAGAGTGGTAAGTTAAGAACTACCTGTAAAAACAACTTCTATTTTCTACAGGGAAACTTGATAACATTTCTTATCCTGAAGTATTGATAAAAGTCAGGTTGTACTCACCTTTCTAAAACCAATCATGTTCAGGCCAACATTAAAGCTGATACCAGCCACAGCATAGGAAAACTCAAATAAAGAGTGCAAGATTAGAAGATGTGAAGAGACCTTGCCCATAGAATTGCCAAGAGTCAGACAAGACTAAATGAATATCATCATCATCACCAGTAGAAGTAGTGTATACCTTTTTTTAATGACAATTATCAGCACTTTTGATCAGTGATGTCATCAAAGTAAACAAATCCACGTGCTGATTATGTCAGCAGGTCATGGCCCTAAACGGAAGTGACGTGCTCAGCCCCCACCCTCCGGATGTGACGTGTTGGCCTAATCCCATCAAGATTGGCAGTCAATCCTCTGGGTATATGATTAGGTGAACCCTAGACTAATTCTATGGACATTCAAACCAAAAAAAGCTAAGTAAAGTGAATAATTAGCAGAGGTCTATGTTTTTGGGAAACAAGCCCTACTTTGGGGAGCTATTTCTAATCATTCTAGCCTAACGATGCTTTTAATTTTTGTGGAGTTTTAAAAACCAGTGCCTCAAAAGCTGGGGAAAAAGAAGCCCCTGAAAGGCAGCCAGAGCCTGCATTTAACCCCTTTTTTTCTAAAAGGTATTTTTTTTCTAAAAGGTATTTATTTCTAGGTGGCTTTAAAATCATTTCCTCAAATGGAGGGGAAAAAAACAAACAAACCACAGCCCCTTTTAAAACCCACAGATGGTTTTTACCTTTGTAAAAATCTAAAGACACATATTTTGCCATTTGCACCCTGAATAAAATTTATTCTGCCCCCCCTATAGTAAAAGACAAGGAATATTAACAGGAATTTAAATGCTCACAAGAGGCAAGCAGCCAGGCGGCAAGTAGGGATTTAAAACTTGTTCAGGCATGTCAGGACCGCGATTCTGGGCATGCGTATTTCTGTCTGCTAGTAAAAAAGGGGTTAGGCCTTGTTTGGGACATGCCCGGGCATGTCATACTTCTTGTGATCTGGGTATGCGCAATGCTCAAGGGCGTGTCATTGCAAGGAGCTGGGGAGTTTGTGCGGGCAGGCCTGAACAGCTAGCGATTTAATTCCAGCAGTCTTTTGAAGATGGCAACATTTGATGGAGATTTGTTTGATGTAAATTTGGCCCCCAAACCTCCCAAGTGTGGGTGCAGAATAAGAAAAGGACATGAGTTATACAACTTCATTGTAGAGAACAAACTTATAAAGCCTTGTTATTGCAGATTCTGCAAAACATCAAATGGTAAGTAAATATAAAAAAATAAGAAAACAGTATTTTGATTGGTTGAAACAGCTCGCCTAAATCTACCTTATTTCCTGCTTTAGAAACAGCGGAATCTCAAAATGTCAGCATGCCTGATTCTGAAAGTGTGTATCATTAAAATATTATACCACTGCTTAATGGGATGTCTACAATCAAATGATCATATAGATCAGTGGTTCTCAACCTGTGGGTTGGGACCCCATTTGGGGTCGAACGACCATTTCACGGGGGTCGCCAAACAACGCAGTCTGCCATTTTTTCCCCTTTTCCTTAGCTGTGCTACTCCCTTTTATTCTATTGGCTTTCAAAAGCCAATAGGAATTGTCCAGGCTGTCTCTGCCCTGCTGAGCCCTCCAAAAGTCCAATTCTGCAAATGGTGTTGCACCAGTTGAGTAGTCCTCGACTTACGACCAATTGAGTAGTCCTCGACTAACGACTGGTTGGGGGTCGCGGCATTAAAAAGGTTGAGAACTACTGATATAGATAATATCGGTGAAACAGAGCTTATTAACAGCTTATGCTTTAGACTTTCTATGCCTCATGTTCTCTGGATCATCATCAGTATTTCTGACAAAATGAATAACTTATATTTCACCTGGGATTCCCTTGGTGACCTCAAGACATTCATACAGCGTATCGAAAAGAGCTGTAAACCACTGACGTTAATGTCAAAGATTGAATCTGAATTGCCATTGTCTCTGAAGAGATTCATATGCCAAAATGTAACAGAAATTAATTACAAGAAGCTGTTAATGCTATGAAATTTATAATAAAATGTGCTTTACAAATCACATGAAAGATGTATTATGTTTTTTCTTTTGTAGACCCCTGTTTAACCTTGGCAGATGTTAAACACAATTTAATCAAATCTCATGGGATATTATTCAATTGGGTTTTCCTGATGAGGCGGGGCTGGCCAGTTTTGCAAACGTTGTGAAGAACTCACCAACTCTGATGTGATTAATTTGTAAAATCATGTACTATTCAAATGCAGTTTTGCAAAAGTTGTGAAGAACACACCTCCTCTGATGTGATTAATTTGTGTTGATGTTAAACACAAAGGTAAAAACCACCTGTGCATTTTAAAAGGGGCTGTGGTTTGTTTGTTTTTTCCCCTTATTCGAGGAAATGATTTTAAAGCCACCTAGAAATAAATACCTTTTAGAAAAAAATACCTTTTAGAAAAAAAGGGGTTAAATGCAGGCTCTGGCTACCTTTCAGGGGCTTCTTTTTTCCCAGCTTTTGAGGCAATGATTTTTAAAACTCCACAAAAATTAAAAGCATCGTTAGGCTAGAATGATTAGAAACAAAAAGCCTTTTTATTTTTTATTTCACAGCTCCCCAAAGTAAGGCTTGTTTCCCAAAAACACAAGCCTCTGCTAATTATTCACTTTACTTAGCTTTTTTTGGTTTTGAATATCTATAGAATTAGTCTAGGGTTAACCTAATCATGTACCCAGAGGATTGACTGCCAATCTTGATGGGATTAGGCCAACACGTCACATCCGGAGGGTGGGGGCTGAGCACATCACTTCCTTTTAGGGCTATGACCTGCTGACGTAATCAGCATATGGATTTGTTTACTTTGATGACATCACTGATCAAAAGTGCTGATAATTTTCATTAAAAAAAAGGTATACACTACTTCTACTGGGGCCAATAGCAGCAACAGCAATATTCACAAACGTAATACATAAACAGCCATGATGTCCTGTATTCTACCTTATCATCCCCCAATTGCATCTTTATGACCATTAAGAATATACGCTATATTGGACATCCCGCTCAAAATTGTAGATACTTGATACTACTCTACATGATACTTAGGAAAAGGATCACCCAACTATTCTTAATTAACTGGAGGTCCTCTTATTTCAGTAAAAACTGATAAAGGAAAAATTAGCAGAATGTGAAATGAAAGATTTCAAGTAATTTTTAAGTTCTATAAAAAACAATGCAATCAACCCTTTTTCTTTTTCTTTTTTTTAAAGTTTTTATTGAGTACAAAGAAAAAAAAGGATTAAAAACATTGAACATGGTAAATCATCTTTGACTGACATCTCAGTCCATATTGTACATTAATTACATATAATATATCTATATACAACTGTACATTTCTGGTCTCTATCTTAACTTATCTCTTTTTCCCCTCCATCTATAAAATTTGTTCCATATTTGATAAAATTCTGTTTCTTCCTGATTTTTTAATCTTTTAGTTATCCTGTCTAGTTCTACGCAATACATAATTTTCTTATTAATACTTCCCCATTCGGTATTTCTATTGCTTTCCACTTTTGAGCAAATAGTATCCTTGCCACTGTAACCATGTGAATATTTAGATATGTGTCCTCTTTATTTACATTTTTCTCTAGTATTTCTAATAGTAATGTCTCAGGTTTGTATTGAATGTTTTGCCTATTCATTTCTATTGCCCATTCCCACAAGTACACCTGTGCTTCTCTACATGTCCACCATACATGAAAAAAAAGTGCCCTTTTCTTTTTTACACTTCCAACACATAGGTGAGTATCCGTTATACATTTTGGCTAATCTGGCCGGAGGGAGATGCCATCTGTAAACCATCTTATACAGGTTTTCTTTATATGATGTCGCCAATGTGATTTTGTTATTTCGCTCCCATACTTGCTGCCATTGATCCATATTTACATTATATCCTAGATCTGTTGCCCATGTCACCACTGTTTCTTTAACCTGCTCCTCATATAGCTTATATTCCAACAGGTGCAATCAAACCTTTTTCAATAGCAGTCCATAGAAACTATCAAAATAATCTGAACCAGGTCAAATAGCAACAACATGTTATATTAAGATTTTAATATTTGATTTAACATCTAGAATATAGTTATAAGTCTGAGGAAATGACTACAAGAAATATTATTAATACCTGTACTCCACTAAATATTAAGAATACTGACAATTTCAGTTAACATTGTGTTATGCATGTTAATAATTTACTTACAGGAGATCCATCAATCCAAGTGTATCCTGGGCTGGAATCCACAATTCTTAAACCAAGCCAGCTGCTTTGTGATTGTAATCTAAAATGTAATAATCAGCACATATATTAAAATATAATTTATGCACATGTCTTTCTTAAATAGAACACTGCAATTTTCTTTCTGTGTTTACTTTTTCACACATAGAACATAAGTATGTCAGCAAATGAATAACCCCAAGAAATATCCAAGTTCTTAAATATGGCATATATCCTAACAGCTGAAATATGGTATCTATTTGAATGGGAATAGATTCTGATGACTACAATGTAATTTATTTAAGTAATCGTGTATAGGATAATACTAGAAGCCTTGCTACTTTATTGAGATGATGATAATTATGATTGAATCTACACTTCTGACCATTCATTATTATTTCTGTTGTAACAACTTAAGAAGTTTTTTTTAAAAATAGTGATGGTGATCTTACCCACTGATTATTGACATAAATTGGATCTCTAATTCTGAGGACCCTGAGAGAAAACTTAACTACATGCAAAGTACTTCAGAATGAATATACTGTATGCGAGATTATAAAGTTAACACTAATTATATATTTCATGATGATGAATTCAGTGCTCCAATAAACACTTTGCCAGGAGTGTTTCTGCCTTGTGATATAAAAAATAAAGTTTATATACTCACATTTTGTTTAATAAATGAAACTCTTGTTTATTATGAAAAGAAGCCAAGTGTCCTCCAATCAATTTACAATGGTCATATGCGTCATACCAATTTTTCTTTTCAGTTTTCTTCTCTGGATATGCCTAAATGCATATAAATACCTCATTACAGATCAACATTAATACTGCATTGTCTACTTCCCTTCTTGGCTGATTTTAATTATCTTTTCAGTTAAGCCTTCAAACTTTCATGTTTGGTATTTCCATTTCTTACATTTTTTTAACCATTACAATATCTATTGATATTAAAGAGAAAATGGAAGAAGTTAAAGGATGAAGGGTTTTTTTGCTACTGCCATAACTAGAGCTATGCAATTGGATGTAAAAGAATATTTGCTGGATTTTCTGAGAAAAGAAAATCAGTTATTCTCCCCCTTCCACACAGGATGATGATAATGATGATGATTTTACACACACACACACACACACACACACACACACACACCACATTTTTAAAAGACAGTTAGGCAGCCAGTTTCATGTAGTGATTAAAAGCATCAAGCTAGAAACTGTGAGACAGTGAGTTCTAATCTCACCTTAGATATAAAACCAGCTGGGTAACTTTACCTGTCACTCCCTCTCAGTTCTAGGAAGGAGGCAATGGCAAAACTTTAATCAAAAAACTTTGCCCAAGTAACTGAAGGGATTTATCCAGGCAGTCTCAAACAAACACAATTGAATGGAAGAAAAAAAAGTATTATGACAATCTACACAAATGAAGTTGTGAAGAATTAAAAATATATGAAACATTGATTGCATCAAAAATGCCAACTTTTAATCTTCCTATTAGAGCCATAACTATCTTAAGCTAATTCAATAATAATAGTCTTCTTCTTGATTGTATTGCTTAGACCAGGATTTCTTGAGACACAGTACCCCAGACAATAAATGGGGATCTCAGAGAGAGGGCCAAAGATAAGCTGGCTGCAAAGGAACGTGACCAGTCTCCATGTTGTCTTCCTTGTTCTTCCAATCACTACATGATTGGAAGAGGAGGGTTAATCATAGCTGAAGGCACCAAAGTCCCTCTGGAAGGGACAGGAGGGGAGGCTGGGATGTCAGCTCCTGCTGCAGTGTCTCCCTCTTGACCTGGCCTGTCTCAAAGGGCTGAATCTAATTGTCCAAACAAACTGGATGACTCCAACATTGATCCACCTTGAAACAGACATTCCTTGTTGGACTTGCAGTCCATCCTTCAGGACATGGGGGAGGGGAGGTTGCTCTAGGGATTGGAGGAAGTGTCACCCCTTCGGCCAATTGCTTGCAAAGGAAGGGGGCCCTCTCCTCGCAGTTCACAACATCCCACAGTCCAGCAGCATCTCCTGTTCTCATGGCAACGCAGCCGGGATTTGGGCCTGGCAGAATGGATGACAAAAGCCAGTTAAATTTAGTTTATCTCCATATACAAGCTAAATAGGATAAAAACTTTCCTGCCAGAATTTATTTGTTCTGACATACTCCATACCAGGCATTTTTGCATTCCAGTGACTGAACTGAATGGGGTCTCCATTGGTCCAGTTGAAAGTCCCTGGATTCCCTACATCCGAAAGGCCGATCCAGAAATATTTTTCAGGACGGTATCCAATTTGGCTAGTCAGGAAGGCCTGCTCAAATCTGTGGTAAAAATAATTCAAATCAGAATGGTCTCTTATTTTCCCTGTTTTCAGATTCTGAAAATGGTTACTCTTAGGTCCAGTTTATACTTTTACCAGTCAAATCACCTAAAAGGATTGTTGTGGAGAAAATAGGAGTCAGGAGTATTCGGTACATATCTATACATTTAAAAGATGGGATAAAGTTATGATTATCATCATCATCCTGTTAGATATGAAAGTACAACACTAGATTTAGAGATTCCTGATCAGAGCTAAGAAGCCCCCATAACATATATTAAGGTTAGGAAGACAGAGGTGAATCTTTCTTACAGCAAAGACTACAAGGCAGTATTCTCCTGAAGATTTAGGATAAGGGCAGGCCTCCATCTTACTGAGGTCTCTTCATAAATGCTGCCTGAGGCAACCATCCCAGAAAGGCCAATTGTAGGGTCTGCCCAATCCCTGCTACAAATAAAAAAGTCACCTGTGGTAGTTCTCTTGACCTAGATGTCTGACCTAGACTGCAGTTGCATCATAACATTCTCTACAGCATTATTTCCCAATTTTGGCAGTTTTAAGATTGTGGACTTCAACTCCCAGAATTCCGTAGCTGTCTGGTGAATTCTGGGAGCTGAAGTACAAATATTTTAAGGTTGCTGAATTTGGGAAAAACTACTCTACAGCAGTGGTCTCTATATTTTTTTGATAACACATCCTTATCAGTAAAAAAATTAAGTGTATATCTCATATAACTATGTTTGTTTGTAAATTATGTCTGTATTATTTTACTGGTATATTACCGGTATGTATATTATAAAACATAATTCCAAATGTATATTATACTTTTTATATTCTTTATATTAAGTATTAGTTGCTAATTTTTTTGGGAGAAACAATAAAATCCTAATATTTTCTTCCTGTACAGAAATGGATCAAGTATATGCATCCCAAGTTGGAGAGCATTGTTCCAAATAATTCTTCATAGCATATTAATATAGCATTCCTATCTGGAACACCATAAAAGAAGCTGGTTTAGAATAAGTGTTGCAGCAAGATGTTACATCCTCATTCCTACACAATCTGAAACCCCTTTTGGAAATTGGAAAAACTAAAGAGCTGAATTAACATTAAAATATATCCTGGAAAACATTTATTTTGAAATATTCATTAATCACAACAATAATCAGTAATCCATATAATACTCAAGGAAGTAAACCAAGCTTTAGATGATATGTCAAATGAACTCATGTAAAATTAGAATGAAAAATTAGGCATAATTCAGAAAAATGAACAATCCATAAACATCAGAATAAAATAATAAACAGTTTAGAATCAAGGAATGAAATATGTGGAAATGTCTTCCATGCTTAGATTTTTTTTTCATATATGTCACTAAGTATCATAGTACAATTTACTTTGAAGTAAATTAATTTAAAAAGCAGTTAAACACAGAAAATCTATTTACTGTTTTCTTTGTTAAGTAAAATGAGAAAATGATGAATCCTCTACAAATAGTTGATCCACTTATCTTGAGCTCATTCGTAAAGATGATAGATAGATAGATAGATAGATAGATAGATAGATAGATAGATAGATAGATAGATAGATAGATAGATAGATAGAATATTTTTGCTTTGTTCCTTTCACCATATTTTACCTATTCTCCACAGAGCTCAGAAATCCTTGGTTTGTTTCACAAGATGTCTTTGCTTCTGAAAATGTTCCAGGTGTCTTTCCAATTAAGTAACAATAGAAACCATATCGTTTCCAATCCTGTTGACATAGCATACATACACATATAGAACATTAGCCTTTGGGGTTTTTTTATTTCTCACATTTTTATCCTGTCCCAATCCAAAGATTCTCAGATTCACCAAATTATCTTCATCAAATATCAGATGTATCAGATAAAATATAAAGTTAAAATAATTAAAAACCACCCATCAAAGGGCGGTTTTTAATTATTTTAACTTTATATTTTATCTGATACACAGTGATAGTCTTAGAAGGCTGTTAAATCAATAAATGTTGATAGACATATTCACAGCATTCGATTTCTTTGTCAATAGTTTAGATTTATTTAATTTTGTAAGAACATTGTTGCAATTTGGATGTCCAATTACTATGGCCAATACAAATCAGCATTTTTCAGTTTCAGATTCAGTCCAATCCAAATATATTTTTATTCAGAAAAAATATAGCAAAACATGTTACTTCTGTTTAGTCATTATCTCAGATAGTTTTTCTTTTTTTGTCATATAACTTGTCTTCTTATATAATATTGCAGGGAAAATCTTTCTATCTATATGGTTGCTAAGAGTCAACATCAATGTTAGGAGTGGAGGGGAATGTTCATCTGAAGGCAAAACTAGCTTCCTGGTCGATATCTCCAAAACTTCATAAGAAGATGAATAACTATTATAAAATATCAACAGCTATATAGTTCTTTAGACTTACTTTTTGGCATTTTGTATCAGGAGTTTCATCTGTTCCAGGAAGAAATTCTGAAGCTTCTATTTTACAGATGTACCCTAATTCCTCTTCACAGAAATGATCTGCCCAGTACCCATTCTGAGGATGGAAAGGTGAACAAATCTCACTGAAAAGGAATCCATCACTTTTACCCCTTCCTATTTTTTAATAATTTATACAATTTTTGCTTTTTTTTCATGAGCTGGACTATTAGACAATAATTGTTATTGCTGCATTTGTCTAAAATGTGCAGCCACACTAACATCTTTCAAAAAGATGTAAGTGTTTAAATTAAGTTGGGAATGATAAACATAGCTTTTAGCCCACAAAAATTAAATTATTTCAAAATATAATCCATAAATATTATAAAATATTTATAATATAAATATAAAATACAATTGCATTGGTTCTTTTCATCACATAAGCAGCCAGTAGCACACTTAATCTAAATTTAGCACCCCTAAATAAGTTTTTGTTCTTCAGTCAATACAAATTAAAAGTTTATTCCCAGTCTTGAATGTAATATACATTTTAAAGCAAAGTATTAATTACTTTGTAGCAATATATTGCAATATGAATGGACAGTTAAAGGATCTCAGGGTCCATGAGGCTGCTGAATGTTTGTTTGTTTGTTTGTTTAGCAACTTCCAGAGCCTTCTCTAGTTACAAAACTGTAGAATAAGCCAAGAAGTAAGCTTTATATTTCTTTTATAAATGAAGATTTTCCCCAAAATAATGTTTATAAGAGCTACTTGACATAATTAATTACTTTATTACTATCTTCCCTGTCCCCCCCCAAAGCATTAAGTTATGTCCTTAATCAGAAAAGTCCCCCTTTTCTATTTAGTTAAGCATCCTTAAGTATTCATTCCTAACTCTGAAAAATAACAATGCCATTACCAAAGCATATTGTTAAACAAAAAATGCAATCATTACAATCAATAAAATTAGCTCAGTACTTAACAGCAATCCAGTAGGCAAACATTAACATTAAAAAAACAAACACAACGAAAATATTTGAAAGCAATATTCTGTGATAAGCTCCAGAATATACACATCCGTAATAATTTAAACCAGGTGTTAACCTAGAATTGTCAGATAAATTAGAGTGGAACAACTCTACACTAATCCATTAATCAAATAAAAAAGCCTCTAACCCTTTTTATGGAGCTCTAAAAATGGGAATATTATTTATTTATTTATTAATAAAATTTATATGCCGCCCAATCCCTAGGGACTCAGGGTGGTGTACAAAATTAAAACAATAAATAAAACAATAAAATAAATGCATTCATACAACATGTTCCAATCGTGTCCCGGCCCCTCTGGGGACATCAACCCCAGGCCTGCCGGAACAGGAAAGTTTTAATGGCTTTCTTGAAGGCCGGCAAGGTGAGAGTAGTTCGAATTTCGGGGGGAAGTTGATTCCACCAGGGCCACCATAGAAAAGGCCCTTCCCCGAGGGCCCACCAGCCAACATTGTCTGGCCAATGGGACCTAAAGGAGGCCCAATATGTGGAACCTCACCAGTCTCTGGGAACTATGCGGCAGTATATGGTCCTGTAAGTAACCTGGTCCTAAGCCGTGAAGGGCTTTAAAGGTGATAACCAACACCTTGAATTGCGTCCGGAGATGCACAGGAAGCCAGTGCAGCTCACGGAGGATAGGTGACACGTGGGTGTACCTTGGTGCACCCACAATCCTCTCGCGGCTGCATTCTGAACCAACTGCAGCCTCCGAACGCTCTTCAAGAGTAACCCCATGTAGAGCGCATTACAGTAATCCAGTCTTGAGGTGACAAGGGCATGAGTAACCGTGAGTAGAGCCTCCCGGTCCAAATAAGGCCGCAACCGGTGCACCAGGCGAACCTGGGCAAAGGTCCTCCTGGTCACAGCCAACAGATGTTGTTCCAAATTTAGCTGTGAGTCCAGGAGGACACCCAAGTTGCATGCCTGCACTGAGGGAGGTAAGTTTACCCCCCCCCCAGGACCAATGATGGATCATCAGGATGACCCTTGGGGGGCAAGACCCAGAGCCACTCGGTCTTGTCAGGGTTGAGTCTAAGCCTGTTCACCCCCATCCAGACCCTCACATCTTCCAGGCACCGGCACATCACGTCAACTGCTTCACTGAAAGGACACGGGCAAAATCAAAAGCAGTGTTTCTCAAAGTGTGGTAATAGGACCCTGGAGTCATGAAATTAGAATTATTTCCAGCCCACATTGAAAAAAAATAACACAATATTAAAATCCCATCCAAACAATTGTAAGAAGTGATAGCAGCAGTAAATATGTCAGTTTTAATTTTTCATATGCCAATTTCTTTTTTAATATGATAAACATCAGTAACTCGTAGAAGTAAAAGTTCTTTAGGGATTCCCCATAATTTTTAAAAGTGGAAAGTGTGCTTGAAAGGAAGAAGTTTAAGAAACTTTGATCTATGGAATAAATTATGTTATGGAAGAATAGGTTGCATCAAATAAATCTGTAGACAGAAATTTCACCACAGAGAGAACTGAAAAGGAAAAAATCTCCACCAGACAATTGAGGGTTCTTATTGTTACCTCCCCACTCATGATGACACAGTCTTCCTGCACGTCGCTTATAAGGGTGGGTTCTCCTTTCTGCCATTTGATGAATCTCACTGTAGTACCATCACTCCATTCAAAATATGAAGTCGTCTTCTGGTCATTTAGACCTATCCACAAATTATCTGTTGGTTCTAAAAAGACAAATTCATTTTATTCATTTGCTCTCAAATGTAATGAATGAAGTCCAGAGGTTGTATATAATCCCAGAGCCCACAGCACTCTGTGCTTGTTGGTTGGGATTAAGTGAGTCTACTGTATGTGTGACATAAGTGACTGGCAAATGTCTGTGCTAATCTGCCATGGATGTATACAGCAGTTGTAGTGTTATTTAAACCATACAAGCTCAGTAGATTTTTTACAAATATTTTAAGGCCTAAATAAATACTCTCTTTTTTTTCTTGTGATGACAGCCTAAGCAGCTATTCCTTTCTTTTCCTGGCATCCATGTACCCACAGAGTATAGGAAACAGGAAATAAATCTTCTAAATACACTTACTGTAGCCAAGTTGGGAAAAAACAAAGCTGTATTCCTCAATGTCATGTATACTTAGTAAATGTCCATCATCCTTTTGGCAGGAGACTGATGCATCCTTCCACGTTTTGCGATCTCTGTTCAGATGGTAACAGTGCTTTGCATATCCAACCCAGCCATCTGGACATTTAACTGGCTTCAGATCATCTAAAAAGACAGTAATTATATACAAACTGTTGAGTCCGTCGCGAAATGGTAAGACACGAGAAGCAGTTGTAGTTCTCAGGAAACCTTTATTCTTCAGTTCAGCTTACATTGGAATATGGCGGCAACGCCCAAAACTCTCGGCCTCCTTTTATAGGCCTTTCCCGGGTCAATCTGCTACTTTTGGCGCGCCAGCACCCGCACATGCGCACACATACTGGCGACAGCCTGTCTGGTCCCGGGCAGCTTGCACCTGCCCGGGACCGCCTGCAATGCCCCAAGCCTGCTTGCAAGGCTCAGGTCATAACACCCCTTTCCCCCGGGCTAAAACTACGACCAATGCCATAATAATACACAACCCACTCTTAGTACAATGCTCTGCTCCCCCAATGTTCGGAGTTCCCCCCGTTTCCATTGCCTTAGTGTTTCTACCCTTCTACTGTTTAGCCAATAGTATTATGTAATCCTTTAAGTACTTAGGAGATTTCCTTGCTCTCTGTGACCTCCTAAGCTCTGGGTGTCTGACAGGTACCCCCTGACTGAGGGGTGATGTGTGCCTGTCCCCCTTGTTATGCCTTGGTGACTCCCAAGGACTGTGCTCCAATGCCTGGCCTGCTTGCTTGCCCACCGGGCTCGTCAGGCCAGGGCTTCTTCCGGTGTGTGACTTGGTTGTCCTGCCTAGCTGTAGGCTCTCTGGCCCTTCTAAGTGACTGTCACTGTTGGGCGTTTCTGTAGAACCTCCTAGGTCCATCCAAGACCTGTCAGGAGGCTGTCTGTTCCCTGAATCCCGTTCTGTGTTCGGGCTTGTGTGGGTTTCAGTACTGTCCCAAAACTCAGTTGTCCCCTGCGTGGAGTCAGAGGTGTTGTAGTCAGGATTTGGTTCCTCGACCACCTCCCTGTGTGTTCGCCCCCTTCTAGGGATAGGGTTGAAGTCAGGCCAACTAGGAGGAGTGTGTGCCAGCTCTCTTGCAGGGAATGGATTGTTGGGATGCTCCCGGGTATTCTCTCTGACTGGAGTACTGAGTGATACGGGTGAGAAGTGATCATGCCCCCGGGGTGACTCCCAGGCTGGAGTAGGCGTGAATGCCTGATACCTGGTTAAGCTCCTAGAATTCCTGTTTGGAGCAATCGCGGAATTTGGGGATGGGCTGTTTGTGGCTCTTTCATTGGTAAAGGGCAGCATTCCATGCCCCTCCCTTTGCTCAAAGGGCTCTCCCTCCCCCCCTGGAAAAGACCCAGGAGTCTCAGCGGGAAGGTCCCGTCTAGGGCGAAGTTGGTCAATGTGCCGACGCAGGACATGACCGTTGTCCTGGGATACCTCGTAGGATAGAGGACCTGTGACCCTGGATATAGATGTGGGGACCCATGTATGACCAGGCCCGTAATTACGAGTCCAAACCGGGGCACCCACAAGTAGTTGCCTAGGTGCCCTGGGGTGTGAGACAGAAGGAGGCAGTCTGTCCGGATGCAACCGGTCAAGCTTGGTAGTCAGTTTGCTCCCCCAACGAAGTTCAGCTGGGCTTCTCCCTGTAGAAGTGGACAGTGTGGTGCGATAAGAAAGGAGGAAGTCAGCCAACCTGTGATGCCAGTCCCCGTAGGTGAGCCTCTTCAAGGCGTCCTTGGTGATGCGAACCATGCGTTCAGCCATACCGTTGGTGGACGGGTGGAAAGGTGCAGAAGTGGCATGACGAATCATGTTAGCCTGCAAGAAAGCTTGGAATTCGGAGGAAGTGAATTGAGGGCCGTTGTCAGACACAATGACGTCTGGGAGCCCGTGTGCAGCAAAAATCCCCCTCAGTACCTGAATAGTCTTTGCAGTGGTGGTGGAAGAGACAGGTACAACCTCAAGCCATTTTGAATGGCTGTCAACGAGGACCAAGAAGAATTGACCCTGAAAGGGCCCAGCATAGTCAATGTGCACCCTAGACCATGGAGACTGTGTTTCCTCCCATCTATGCACAGGAGCTTGGGGTTTTTCAGGGCGTGAGCATTGACAAAGGTGGCAAGCATGCACCTTAGCTTCTATGTCTTTGTCTACACCTGGCCACCACAAGTGGCTGCGTGCAAGAGCCTTCATTCGTACAATACCAGGATGACCCTCGGGGAGGGAATCTAAGACCCTAGTCCTCATTGAGGTGGGAATGACAACTCTGCTTCCCCAAAGCAGACAACCCTGAGAGGTGGACAACTCGTTCCTTTTAGACCAGAAACTCTGAAACTCAGGACTAGGACAGTGCTCAGGCCATCCAGACAAAACCCAAGAAAGGACACGTGAAAGTGTGTGATCTGTGCCTGATTCAGCGGCTACATCCCTGGCATTCAGGGGGGACTCGGGCAAGGCTTGAATGGAGAGAATATTGATGGCTGGCGCGGGGTCAGCCTCTATTACCGGCAGGGGTAATCTACTGAGGCCATCAGCATGGCCCATTTCCTTCCCAGGCTTGTGAAGTAGGGAAAAATCATATGCAGACAAAAAGATAGACCACCTGAGCATCCTGGGGGAGATGATTTGGGGAGTTTGTTTACGTGTGGTAAACAGTCCCAACAAAGGCTTATGGTCAGTGAAGACCGTGAAATGCCTACCATATAAAAAATCATGGAATTTTTTAATTCCAGCAACAATAGCTAAGGCTTCCCTGTCTATTTGAGCATAGTTGCACTCAGCTGAAGACAATGTCCTGGAGTAATATGCAACAGGAACCTGAGTTCCATCAGCCCTGAGGTAGCTCAGTACAGCACCCACCCCATAAGGGGAAGCATCACAAGCGATGCACACAGGAAGGGACTCATTGAACTGAGCAAGTACACTGTTAGAAGTGAGCAAGGCCTTGACCTCATTGAAACTAGCCTCATGAGTTTGTGACCACTGCCACAATGCCTGTTTATCTAATAGCCTGTGAAGAGGCTCAGCTACACTAGCCTTGTGTGGAAGAAAGGAATTGTAGAAATTCAGAAGGCCCAGAAAAGCCTGTAGTTCGGCCTTAGACTTTGGCCTAGGGGCTTGCATAATGGCTTTTAGTTTGGATTCAGCAGGATGAATCCCAGCAGCATCAATTTTGAACCCCAGAAACTCAGTAGAAGGCACCCCAATTTTACATTTCTCCTTCTTGAGTTTGAGTCCCATTTTCCTGAACCTTACTAGCACAGCCCTTAGCCTTTCAGCTAAAATGTGTGTGGAGTCTCCTGCAATTAAGACATCATCAAAATAGGGGCAAACCCCTGGTATACCCCGTAGTGTGTTTTCCATTACGCTTTGGAAAATCCCAGGAGCGACATTTACTCCAAACTGAAGTCTCTTTACCTTGAAAGCCCCTCTGTGGGTCACAATAGTCTGAGCTATAGCAGCGTCATCATCAACAGGCAGCTGTTGATATGCTTGAGCTAGGTCAAGCTTTGCAAAAACGCGCCCCCCCCTTGAGGGAGGCCAGGATATGACTGACCACAGGAACAGGATAGGCATGTTGCTGCAATGCCTTATTTAGAGTGCATTTGTAATCAGCACAGATGCGAATGTCCCCATTTGCCTTAAGAGGCGTGACAATGGGGGTCTCCCATGGACTGGAGTCAACTGGTTCTAGAATTCCTTGTTGGATCAGTTTATCCAATTCAGTGTCAATTTTACTCTTTAAAGCAAAAGGGACCCTTCTTGCTTTAATTCTAATGGGAGTGACCGTGGGGTCTAGCTTTAACGACACAGGGGGTCCTTTGAATGTGCCCAGCTGGGGGCTGAAAACATCTGCAAATTCTTTGCAGACTTCCTGTAGGTCGAGTGTTTGTAGGCTGTTGAGCCCTGTGATGTGTATCCCCAAGGCCTCAAACCACTCGAGTCCTATGAGACTCGTTCGTTCACCCTCTACTACTAGTAGGTCTAGTGGACCCTCAAAATCCTTATACTGTACGTTAAGGGTGGCCTCCCCCTTAACACACACTCTGGAGTTTTGAAAATCCGTTAGCACAATGTCAGAAGGCCTCAACTTGGCCTGGGTTCCGCTGCCGGAACAAATCTTCCTAAATGTGTGCATAGAAATGATCGAAAGTGCAGACCCCGTGTCCAGTTCCATAGTTAATGGAACCCCTTGTAGCTTCACCTTAAGTGACAGCTTTTTCTTAATGGGCTTGTGTGTGCCTGTCCTATAGATGCTTCTTCGCGAAGCGCAAAACCCCACCCTATTCTGGCTGGGGACCCTGGTACCTTTCAGGCGCAATTCTTCCTGAGGTTGTACCTTCTGACGGCCCAGGCACACAGCTGCAATGTGTCCTTGTTTTCCGCACGCCTGGCAGATAGCAGAGCAGAACTTGCAGTCGGCTCTCTTGTGGCGACCTCCACAACTGATGCACTTGGGGAGAGCTGAAGAGCTTCTTCTTGGTTTTCCTTCCTTTGTGGGGTGGAGACGGTCCACTTCCTCGTCCGGATCCTCCTCGGAGTTTCTTTGGACTTCTTCCTGGTGCACGGACGCAGCATCTGGACTGTTTCTGATCGGCCGCATGTTCTTGATGACGCCGCCCGCTGCTTCTTCTGCGGTGACCTCTCTCAAGGCATCTTGGAAAGATAAGTCCTCCTTGGCGAAAAGTCTCTGTTGCAACTCTCGATGCCTTAGCCCGCATACGAACCGGTCCCTCAGTCGTTCCTCGAGGTCCTTGAACTCGCAATGTTTGGCGGCTTTCCTCAGTGCGGCGATGTACTCCTTGGCCGATTCTCTGGGTCATTGATCCCTCTGCTCGAAGGTGTGGCGCCACGCGATGACGGACATCTTAGGCTGGAAGTGCTCCTTCAGTAACTTCTTTAGATCTGCGTAGCTGACAGACTCTAAAGGAACAGGTGCTGCGAGGTGCTCAGCGATTTCGAATGCATCTTGACCGCAAACGCACAGCAGGGTGGCAGCCTTCAAGCTCTCTTCCCTCACCTGGTTACCTTGAGGTAGTTTTCCACCCTGGCTACATAGGACTCCCACCTCTCTGGACGTGAGACGTCGAATTCCGAAAGCTTTCCAATCTTTGCCATTTCGAATCAGGAAGGGTCTATCAGCCAGCCTATCCCCAAATGCGCACTGGATTGGCAGGTAGCTGCCGAGTCAACGCCGTTCCTGCCGCTCCGGACTCACTCGGGTAAGCTTACACCTTTTCTTCTTCGATGTAAGGCATCCCACCTTCGTCGCCAGTGTTCAGTCCATCGCGAAATGATAAGACACGAGAAGCAGTTGTAGTTCTCAGGAAACCTTTATTCTTCAGTTCAGCTTACATTGGAATATGGCGGCAACACCCAAAACTCTCGGCCTCCTTTTATAGGCCTTTCCCGGGTCAATCTGCTACTTTTGGCGCGCCAGCACCCGCGCATGTGCACACGTACTGGCGACAGCCTGTCTGGTCCCGGGCAGCTTGCAACTGCCCGGGACCGCCTGCAATGCCCCGAGCCTGCTTGCAAGGCTCAGGACATAACACAAACCATCAAGAATTCGAAGTGGAGGTAGGGGGAAAATCCTGATCTAATATTATGATATAGTTAATTCAATAAATAGAATTTAATAGAAGCAGATTTGAAGCAATCCATCTTAAAGATAAGGGTATTTTGTCTATTTTTATGTGGATATTTTTCTGAAAAATCATCAGGATTTGTTGTAATCAGATCTAACTTTTCATGGATCAGGCAAGTACTAGAATAGCACCTTTTTATATCCTATGTGACTACTTAACTATTCCGAAATTATTAATGCTTTCTCACAGTATGTATTAATTCACATAACTATTTTGTACCAGATCGTTAATTTTCTTCAAAACTTCCATCTTATTTTATAGAAATTTACAGAGAACAAACTAAAATTAAATTTGGCAGCAAATTTAAACTACCCAATGAGTCAAGAAATAAGTTGAGTCATAAGCATCCACGTAACAAACCTGATTTTACAACATTTTTGCAGCAGTCATTAAGCAAATCACTGAGATAGTTAAGCAAATGTATAGTCATAAGCGAAACCCACTATTTCAGCAAAACCCGCCCAGCAAAAATCATGTTCAATGATTGTGGGACATAGCAACTGGTCATAAAAGGCAAGTCCTCCAAATACAGTTACATGAACTCAGGTGTGTAGTTGAGGGATGGGATGACATTTTATAATTGCTAGAGATGCCTCAGAGCAGGGGTGTCAAACTGCCGGCCCATGGGCCAGATGCATCATCCGGAAGCCACTGCCATTCCATTGCCGGCAATGGCAAAACTGTCCCGATATGTCTCGCAACGTCACGTGACATCATGAGTTTGACATGTCTGCCTTAGAGGACCAGTGCTGGGTTTGTCTTAATTATGAATGATTGTTAAGTAGCTTATCAAAAGACAATGACTATCTGCACTTTAGGATCTTCCTTATGCAGGCAAATCTTTAGGCTTTAACTCATCTAAGAGGTGTGCTATATTTCATATTAAAATTTTCTGAAATAAAACAATTTTTTTCTATTTCCTCAGGATTTTGGATCATCAGAATAATATGAGAATTCAGCATCTCCCCCCCCCCCAGGTATAAGCATAGGTATGTACATAGGATGTTTAGGCTGCCTTGCTTCCTGCCATTGAGTAGATCTCTTTGGCCTAAGCAAAATTGTTTTTGCATAATGTGCTTTCAGAACCGAAATCTCTGCATGTTCTCCAGTCAGGTAAATCTATTATTTCACATTACTTTAATAGATTATTCTGGAACCATACCATCACTAGGAAAGAATGCAAAAATATTATTTGGGGTATGAGTGCCATGCAGTCAGTGAAAGAATAATTTATTCAGTTAATTTAATTTCTAGTTTACAACCTACCTGAAGAAGATGCAGATGCCTGTTTTGAAGAGTTCATTCTTTTACAGATGTATCCACATTTTTTTTCACACAGACTATCTGCCCATTTGCCATTCCTACCCTGCATCAATCCACAATTTTTTCCTGTTTCTAAAGAAGGGCTACCTGTAAGAGAGAGTAAGCCAGATTGTCCTATCACTGATGCCAAGACGATAACATTTTTATCTGTAAACAAATCAAAACTATTTTTCTGCCTTGTTCTTCAATTGTATCTCAAGAACAATGTATCTGTGGCTGTGCATCTATCATTTGGGCAAGGCATTGTATGTTCTATCCAATTAGCCACTGTGTGATTTCATATGTTATGGAAGCAATGGTGGCATGCGAAATATGCCACTTTTCCTATTGTTCTAATCAGTGCTTTATTTCTTAAAAAAAAAAAAAAGATGCCGGAACTCACACACATATACAACCTGCCTTGCCTACCCTATAAGGTTCCATCCAAAAAAGGTGCTGGAACTCCGTTCTGGGCGTTCTATGAGAAAACAAGCCCTGGTTCTAATGCTAACTATTAGAGCAGTGTAATGCTTTGAAAGGATGCTCCATTTCAACAAAGCTTCAGAGCAGTCCCTCAGAACAAGACAGTCAGCCGAAACGGTATTCTCCTTTGATGAACTCAATTGTAGTAGCTTCCTACCTTTAATCAGTCACCCTTTTAATCAGATCAAAGGGGCCAGTCAGATCAAGTCTGTGTTGAGGCAGAACCATTTTTCAAGTCAAGGCACAGCTTCTCTATCAACTGTTATGAGTGACAGGAGTCAAGTGGCACATGATGAGGAATGGAGCCTCCTTGCACAGGTCTACAAACCTTACACAAGAGGATTATTTCTCCATTCAGCTAAGCATGGCTACTAAGTCTCTTTTCAGAGTTTTCTGTCAGGATCAGGGGACTCTTCGGGGTGATAAAAAAAGTGAATGCAACTATACTGTAAAAATTGATGTTTATATACTTCTAATATACTTCATACAAGAATGCTAACACACTTCTAGAGAAAGTGTCAATTAAATCAAAAACATAATAAATATTTCAATAATTTATATATGTATTAATCATTACAAAAAGACTACAAAGTTTTGTTTTTAAATGCTGCTCTGACCTATTTAAGCAGAACTATTTTGGATTGAACGATAAAAATTTCCAAATATTCTAATCTTAATATCCTTAAATGTTACACTTTTCTCTATGAAATACCAATGACCTTCTAACTACATACATTTACTCACCTGGAGCCCAATTTAAATATCTTAAAGGCTGGTCATTAGCCCACTGCCATCCACTGTCAAAATCTGGGTTATTAAGACCAATCCAGTAGCTAGCTTCTGAATTTTGTGTTAATCCTGTTTTAGGAAGAAAATTCACATATTGATCGATTCTGTAACTCTGAGGTTGAAGACAAAATAGACAAAGTACAATTGAACCGAAGTACAACTATCATCTTTCTCTTGGTCTGAAGCTATACTTTTAATAGTTATATATAGCGCAAAGACTGTAACAACCACTATATAGAACAGAAAGGGAAAAGACAAACAAAGTGCAATCATAAACATCAAATAGCAATCAGAAGACACAATCAAAACACAATGAAAACTTCACTGAATATGTTACCTAATCTGCATGAAAACAACCAAGCTCAGAGTGCCTGAATTTGACCATGACCTACTTATATTGTTTTCTATTTGTACAATGAAAACTCCTTAACCTCACAACACATGGACAGACTTAACCATAGTTATATTGGGAAACTATGAGTATCTTAGATCAAGTAAATCTAAAAATGCTAGGGAATTCTTTTAAATTTGGTACTCAGACACATCAGCATCAATAGATGCATAGAAATAAACAACATTTATACACCATTCAAAAGTGACAATTAAAAAGCTAAGAAGGAAACAAAAAAATCAGAACATATCCTTTTCATCCATCCAACATCCAGATAAGGAAACATTAATAAAAAATAATTAAGCAGAAAACAATACTGTAACCCAGAACAGGGAGAAAACACCACACTAAGGATTTTGCCCAGTCAGATAATGAATCATATGCAAGCAAACAATCAAGTTCAGGGGGCACCAAGAATTCAATAATTCAACCTGAGCTACAAGTATTTTCTTCTATTGATATTTATGTATTAATTTCAAATCAATTTGATAAATTTTCATTTTTGGAATCCAAATTCAGTTATGTCAAAATACTTGTTCCTTGGAAGTAGGTTATTCAAAGTAAGACGGTTTGAAAGCATCAAATATTTTTCAGAAGATAATTTCTCTGAGGAAAAATTATGTTTCTTATATGAAGCTTTTAAAATTGCTTACTACTACAGATGAGAAAATATTTATTATCAGTAATGCCTTTAGAAGCTTTTTCAGAGATGTTTTGTTATGTGATACCTGCCAAATATGCTTGTTCATACAGTTCGTTGATGCTCAATAATTCTGAATGTTGTTGCTGACAGCTTTTTCTTGCTTCATCCCAGGTTAGAGCTGAGAAGGAATTGATCTGGTAGAGATCTCCTGTCCAGTGATTTTTGACCCAGAAAAAGTCATCATTTTCATCTGTAAGTATTATGAAAAATAGAATCAGCTCATTAGTAGCAAAGCCCTGAGAGAAATGTTTTTATTTATATTTTCATTGCATTAATTTTCATTGCATAGTTAATTTTCATCTGTAAGTATTAGGAACTTGTTGAGTGAACATATGTATGTATGGTGACTGGTTTTAGAAGTGCTGATTTTAGCAGTTCTAGCTACCTTTCCTATTTCCCATTCTATGAGCTAGCAAACCAGAACAAACAAACCACCTAGTGGAGAGCTCTTAAAGTAATCAGAGAACATTCATTTGTTAAGAACAAGGGATTGTCATGCTAGTTTCATCCTAGCACCCACATGGTTGCCTGGCTTCTTCTGCCAGGCATGAGAATAATGCTTCTTATGGGGTTCATAGAGATCCCTCCAGGCAATCAGGAATCCTCTGAAAATATTAGTGTCTTGATTCCAAATCACATATATGTATTTCTTTAACAAAGTAGACTATTAAAAAAAATTAAGATTCCCTGACGAAAAGTTTGATCCTGATAACTGAAAACAGAATTAAAGTGCTTTGTCACTGATTTCTTTTGGGATTTTCTTCAACATCTTAGTGTAGCTTACAACCTTTAGATTTCCTGGTTGTCTTCTTCTATCCCATTACTAATGCTATCTGGTCAGCCAAGATCAGTGCTGCCCATTAATGCAGAAAAGGCACAATTAAGGTCAGTTTTATATAATATTTTGATACAGTCTAAAAAAAAGAGGGTTAACAACAACAACTTCCACATTTTGTGGGAATATGAACTCACAGTATAAAACATCACACCCTACTACTTGACAAGATAGAAAAATGTGGGGTAGACAGCATCACCACCAGATGGATCTGTAGCTGGCTGACCAGCCATACTCAGCGAGTGGTCCTCAATGGAACCGCATCTACATGGAGGGAAGTGTGTAGTGGGGTGCCCCAGGGCTCTGTTCTGGGCCCAGTACTCTTCAACCTCTTCATCAACAATTTGGACGAGAGGATAGATGGGGAACTTATCAAATTTGCAAACAACACCAAGCTGGCAGGAATAGCCAACACTCCAGAAGATAGACTTAAGATACAGAAGGATCTTGACAGACTTGAACACTGGGCACTATCTAACAAAATGAAATTCAAAAGTGAAAAAAGCAAGATTCTACATTTAGGCAAGAAAAATCCAAATGTCCAGGTATAGTATAGGGGGTATACTATACCTATGCTCAATAGTAGTAACTGTGAGAGGGACCTTGGAGTCCTAGTGGGCAATTACTTAAATATGAGCCAGCAGTGTGCTGCAGCTGCCAAAAAGGTCAACACAGTGCTAGGCTGCATGAACAGAGGGATAGAATCAAGATCACGTGAAGTATTAATACCACTTTACAATGCCTTGGTAAGACCATACATGGAATACTGCTTCCAGTTTTGGTCACCGCGATGTAAAAAAGATGTTGTGATTCTAGAAAGAGTACAGAGAAGAGCAACAAAGATGATTAGGGGACTGGAGACTAAAGGATATAAGGAATGGCTGCTGGAATTGGGTATGTCTAGTTTAATGAAGAGAAGGACAAGAGGGCACAAGATAGCAGTGTTCCAATATCTCAGGGGTTGCCACAAAGAAGAGGGAGTCAAGCTATTTTCCAAAGTGCCTGAAGGCAGGACAAGAAGCAATGGGTGGAAACTAATCAAGGAGTGAAGCAGCCTAGAACTAAGGAAAAATTTCCTGACAGTTAGAACAATTAAACAGTGGAACAACCTGCCTCCAGAAGAAGTGAATACTCCAACACTGGAAATGTTTAAGAAGAGACTGGACAGCCATTTGTCTGAAATGGTATAAGGTTTCCTGCCTGACCAGGGGGTTGGACTAGATGACCTCCAAGATCCCTTCCAACTTTATTATTATTGTTGTTATTATTATTATTACATTAATGAAATGTCAAAGAGATAACTTTATGCCAAAATGATTCTACTGACATTCTGATCCTTCCTTCCTTCCTTTAACAGGGCCTGAAGGTGGTACACAAAATGCTTTCTTCTCATTTCTCCCCACAACAACAACCCTGTAAGGTAGGTTGGAATAAGAGAGAGTTTTCAAAATCACTCAGTGAGCTTCTGGAGCTAAGGGGGACTTGAACCCAGGTTTCCCCAGTAGCAGTCCAACCTCTTTTCACCAGATTCTACCAAAAAATACATCCAATTTAACAAATGAAAACACATGCTCATAAGCACATTAACTGAGAACAAAATAGTTACATCTAATTATATAGCAAAAGGTGATTTGAAAAATTTAATTAATCTTACTTTAAAATGTATTAAAATGTATTAAGTTCTATTTGATAGCACATTACCAAAATGTTGTGACACCACTTACAGGGCACAGTTGCTTTAAAATAATAGTGAATATAAAACAGTCTGTTATAAAAGGCTTATTTTTAAATATAAATATGAATATTCCATTGCATGACAGCCAGTTAAAGCACTAGCCTAAAAAGGAGAGATTGTCAGTTCAAACCCTGCCTTAGCCATGTAAGCCAGTCACTCGCTGAGTTGTTGTTGTAGGGAAAATAGGAGGAGGAAAGTGTGTTGATATGTTTGCTGATTTGAGTTGATTCTAAAAATAATAAAGGTAGAATACAAAATAAATAAATGTATCATCAAATAAGAGTTTACCTTTTACTGGGCAATATCCAGTTAAAGAGTCTTTATCCACATCCGGAGTTGTTCCACACCAAAGTCGTTGGTGTTCATCATCATTAACTATGCATTCAGCATACCATTTTTTCATATACTTGAAAGGAAATACGCAAGGTGCTCCAAAGGAATTGCCTTCTATAGTGAATAGAGCTATATAAAAAAATCAAACTTATTCCTGTTAGATTGAGAAGTACTAAAATGAGAGTAGAAATGCTATACAAAAATATCTCAACTTTTAGTTCTAAGGTATGCATACGGTTTCTGTATAATACATGTAACCACGTTTACTTAACTCAGGGATTTTTTTCAGAATTTATGTCTTAGAATATAGGTAGTCCTGCATTCATTTAGTCATCCATTCATTTAGTGACTGTTCAAAGTTACAACAGTACTGAATAAAATGACTTATGACTGTTTTTCACACTTACAACCATTGAAGCATCCCCATGGTCAGATGATCAAAATTTGGATGCTTGGCAACTGGTTCATATTTATGACAGTTGTAGTGTCCTAGTGTCATATGATCCCCTATTGTGATCTTCTGACAGACAAAGTTAATGGGAAAACCAGATTCACCTAACAACCATGTTATTAATTTAACAACTACAATGATTCACTTAACAACCCTGGCAAGAAAGGTCATAAAATGGAGCAAAACCCATTTAACAACTACCCTGCATAGCAACAGAAAATTGGGGTTCAATTGTGGCCAAAAATCAAAGACTACCTGTACATGCCATTTTTTTTTCTCAGATGAGTAAAAGACAACATCACTAATATGTTAAAGGACAACTAGATAGTAATATAATTTGAAATTATATCTTTAGTATCCAATTTTTAGATAAAGAGATTCAAAGAGAAGGAAGAGAATTTGGGTAAGCAAATTCAGCAAGAAGGATTAATATTCGAATATTTACCTTCATATTTCTGGGCACACAAGCTCTTTTTTGTTCTGTAGATCTTCCAAGTACTTTTTGTGGTGGGGTTTTCTGATAGTATAACCCCTTTGTTAGGTCCATTTGCAGGACTTAAAAACAGATCTTTGCTTTCAGTGGCAAGCAGCGTGTCATTTTTACATTCCCATTTCTGTAATTCAATGGTTTCATTGCACGGGGACAGTGTAACTGGAACCATGTTTGTTTTTGAAGGCACACTCAGGCATAACTTCACTGCCATATTCAATAACTGATAATCAGATACCCACTTAAAATTTTGCCAGTCGCTGTGTTTGTTGCAGTTGTCCAAGGTGAAGGAACGAGATTCTTGTAATTTTAGGCAAAGATCAAGATTTTCATTGTATAGCAAAAAAGTGTCACTGTCTATAAAATGAATCAAACAATAATAATAAATATAGAGTAACCACATTCATGCTCTGGGGAGATATACATACATGCATACTCACACACACACACACACACACACACACACACATATACATATATGTATATATATACATATATAGGTATATGTGTGTGTAGATAAACATATATAAGTATATGTGTGCGTATGTGTGTGTGTTTGGTTTCTTACTGCGTTTTCCACCTACTATTGAAACAATTCCATTGTATCTCAGATTTCATCTATTTAAATTTAACATTTTCTATTATTAATAATTGTAATATACCAACAAGTAGAAAAAAAAAGAATTGTTTTTAAAAATGGTATAAAAACAAAAAAAGATTTATAATGTTAATTTCTAAAGATTATTTAGATACTATCAGTAATTATAGAAAATGCATCCATACATTAGTGCTTTGGAGAAAACATAAACATAACTGAAGACCTTGACATTATTGGCAATAGAATAAAAATAAATTGAACAATTGAGTGTTTAAATAATTGAATTTAAATACATATATTTTAAAACAATATTTAAATATTTGAATAAATCTTACCTGATATTTGAAAAGTGGGCTGAATGAGAAATAAAAAAATTAGGAAGAAAAAAGTAGGCATTGTGAACAATAAAACATTCCAGAAAACTACCCTGAAATTAAGAACCAACTGAGGTAGCTTCTACTGTGGAATTCCTTTATATATATGAGCAAAGGTGACAGAAATATTCACTTCTGCCTTCAGTGTTATGAAATGTGTATTGTAATAAGTAGGTCTATGAATAATATTTGGCTTCCATGTAAAAGACTTATTTCCATAGAAATTTTCTCAGGAATTGACAGCTAATCTTTAAACACCCATCATTCATATATCTATTCATGCATACTCTATATGCCTATTAAACTATTCCCTTTGAGAATAAGAAACACTTTAAATGAAATAAAATACTATTTATTCAGTCAATGACTAGTAAAAGTAAAATCAAATTGATGAAATAAAATACCAGCATAACAAGGAGTCTCTATTATAAAAAATATAACACACTACTATGATAATGATAGCTACGTGTGCAAGTATAAATCTAAAATATTATAATATATCAGGTAAAATACATGTCAACTAAAACAAAATAGCTAACAGCTGATAACTCTTTTTTCTATTGTTATTTTCATTCAAAAAAAAGTCAAAATACAAAACTCCCACATTTTTTAAAAAAACAAACAAAGGAAGAAAAAAACCAAAACAAACAAGACATTAAAAAGCGCACATTAAAAAAGAAAAAACCCTAACACATGTAGACATAATATCCCCCTGTTTGAACACTGATTAATTATAGTACTATAATAGTTCAATTTTCCATCCATTGCGAAACAGCCTCCAAAATTCTTAAACTACTAAATCTATTTGCAAATTATTAACCTATGATCTATATACTTTATTAACAGAATAACAGATGTGGAAGGGATCTTGGAGATCTCCTAGTCTAACCCCCTGCTAAGGCAAGAAACCTATACCATTTCAGACAAATTATTGTCCAATCTTTTCTTGAAAACCTCCAGTGTTGGAGCATCCACAACTACTGGAGGCAAGTTGTTCCTGTGATTAACTGTTCTAACTGTCAGGAAATTTCTCCTTAATTCTAGGTTGCTTCTCTCCTTGATTAGTTTCCATCTATTGCTTCTTGTCTTCTCTCATGTGCTTTGGAGAATAGGCTGATTCTCTCTTCTTTATATTGGAACTCTGCTGTCATGTCACACCTAGTCTTTTTTTTTAATTAAAGTAGACAGATCTCTTTAAATAAAATAACATTCCCTTTCAATGGGAATGAGGCAAATTTATAGACTAAACACAGTCTCTAAACACATGATTTTATGAATAGATATGGATTGGAATCTCACCATTTTCAAAAGATAAAGATCAGTTATCACAAGAAATAGCCCTGAAAAAAAAACTCCAAAAAGAGTTTGGATGCTGATCAAGGACTGGCTGTGGAGATGGAAGCCACAGCAAGAGTGCCTGGAACCTCCTCTTTATAATAGATGGATTGCAGGATTCTGATATGGAATGTTAACAAGGTAAATTCCCACAAAAGAAAAAAAAAGTTATTTGAAAAAAGTAAATCATAATATAATATGTTTGCAAGAAACCCATATCAAAGAGATTGACAAAAAGTATTTAATAATAGTTATTTCTGCTAACTATAAGAAAATTAATGGGGTAGTTTTGTATATAAAATCCCAATTGCATCCATATTTACTGATCACTGATGATCAAGGCAGATATGCAATTGTGCAAATTGAATTACAAAGAATAAAATCTATTGTAGTGGGATTATATGTTCCACACCAAGAAAAGCCATGTTTTTAAAACATTTGTTTGAACATTTATTCTCATATTCTTTTCAGTATTGATGTGTAATTGGAGATTTCAATGGGGTGGTAATCTTACAATTTGACAGATTAGCTGATAAAGGAATTAAATAAACCCAAGAAAAACTGCCCCAAACCTTTTTTGAACTGACTCATACTTTAGGCTTGAGCAATGTACGGAGATGTAACAATAGACTGACAAAAGACTTTCTTTTAGAGAGACACAAATCTTTTTCTATAATTGATATGATTTGGATTACAAAGTTACATATTAAATTTGGTTCTCAGTCTTTCAAATGGATATTAAATGAGTCTCTATTACAGATGCCACAGATTGTTAAAGAATGTAAACAAGTACTTCAGGGTTACAACAATTTGGGATCCAAGTAAAGCAGTGATAAGAGGATATCTGATACAACACAATGTAGTAATTAAGAAAATGAATGGAAAAATTCAAAAAGTTTTACAAGAAATTAAATAGAAGGAAATAGAGCTCAACAAAACACCAGAGGATCCCAATATACTTAATCAACTGAAATTGTTACAACAACAAATTTCTTTGCTGACTGTTTCAGATATTGAAAAGAAATTGAAATATACAAAACCTTTTTTTGAAGATGCACACTTCTTGTGAGTTTCAGGCTTTCCTACAGGACAACATGATCCGGCCCACCATGTCAGCACCATTTCATCCCGCGTCCAACGGGCAAGTTGAGCGCATGCTCTCAAGAGGATCACATATGGTAATTGGCATCACAGGTTGGCTGACTTTCTTTTGTGCCATTGCACTACACCTTGCACAGCTACTGGCAAGAGTCTAGCGGAACTCCGCTGGGGTCGCAGACTTATCACTAAGATGGAGAGGCTGCACTCAAGCTTCACAGGTGTCACAGCCGTGGGCACCTAGGAGACTACAGGTGGGTGATCTGGTCTGGGCAAGGAACTATGGACCTGGACATCCCTGGGTCACAGCAGTGGTTTGCAAGGTCTCTGGGCCACTGTCATACAAAGTGGCCTTGGATGATGATCGTGTGATCCGATGTCACATTGACCAACTAACTCTAAAATTCTCCCCAGGGATTCAATATAACTAAATGTAACAGTTCTCTCCCCTCTACTATGCTAGTGATCACAGTACCCAATGAGACCAATTGGCAGGCTCCGTGACACTTCTTTCCACCTTCCAGCTCCTATGGGAATGACCTTTGTTCCCATGGGATCCTTCCGTGTTTAGTCTAACAACACTTTCATTTCCCCCTTCCCCCAAACTATGTGGCAACTTAGAATGACAAAGGTGGCTTCAGACAGGTTCATTTCAGAAGTTGACAAAGACAAGAGAACAATTAGTAAGTGAAGGTTTTGTTTGTGACTGGTTTAATTATTATAGAATTTTTGAAAGATTTAAACTTGATGAAAAAGTTTTGTTTTCACAGGAGTTAAAACTGAATTGAATATTGAATATGTTCTAGAGATGACCACTTGATCGTTAAAGTATATAAAATGTTATTTAAGATGAACCTAGAAGTAAAAGACTGCATGGTAAAATGGGCAAAAAAATTGGGTATAATAAAACACTAGATAAATGGGAGAATGTATGGACTAATGGATTAAAATTTACTTTGAATTATAGTTTGAAAGATTGTTTTTTATAAAATGATGTGTCATTGGTATTTGATGCCAGATAAGTTAGCAAAAATAAATAGAGGGATTTCTAACAAGTATTGGAAATGTAAACAAAATCCAGGTATATTTTATCATATGTGGTGGTCTTGCAAATATGTAAAAACATTCTGGATAAACATTATAAAGATAATGCAGAAATACTTAAGATATAAATATTAATAAAACCTGAAGCTTTTCTTTTAGGTATTATGGATAAACCAATAAAAAAAACAATTTGGGATGCTATTTCTATACATGGTGACTGCTGTGAGGATTTTACTCACTAAGCACTGGAATGGAAAGGAGATGTTGACTGTTGAAGAATGGATTTTAAAATTGATTGAATTAGCAAAGGTGGGAAAATTAATTGCCTAAAGATAATTAACTAGACAGCTTTATAAGAAATTGGAAGTCATTTGTGGACTTTCTACATGTAAAATACAATAATAGATGGTTAATAGAGGGATTGAAGACTAATGTAATATTTCAGCTAATCTGTTAACTGTTTTATTTTTTTTACTTTTTATAAACATTAGATATTGATTTGATTTCATTGTTAGATAGAGACCTCCTCATCTGAAATATTTGTTTATATAATACTAGCTGCCCGTGGGCCAGATGCGTCAGAAACAGGCCATGCCCACCCATCGCTGCAAAGGCAAAAAAAGTGGTCGTACATCACAATATGTCACGTGACACAATCAAGTTTGACACCCCTGAACTTCTTCTTCTTGTTGTGCCATATCCGTTATCGGACGTTGGCGATCATGTTGACAATCCTGTTTTTATCAGCAGCCACACGAAAAAGTGCTGCTGAGTTTTGTCCAAACCAATCCCTTAGACCCCTGAACTAGATTATCAGAAAGCTCCTTTCTAATTTTTATATTCTATCATTTTCACTTGTTTAAAATCTATTTGTCATATTGCTTTTTTAAAAAGCACTTCTTTCTTTAACATATGTTTTCCCTACTATTTTTCCATTTTTTAAAAGATTAGCATTAAGTTCATGCATTTGTATCATTTAAAACTGCATAAATCATACATTTAAAGTTACTATAATCAGATTTCTTAATGCTGCTACAACATACATGATTCTTCAGAAAATCCCTAAGATAAATTAGGAAACAGATAAAGTATTGCTTTTTGAAAATAGTAAGAAATCCATTTTTCAAAGAGGAATACAAACAATTAAGTCAGAAATAGAATCTAGATGGGAGTTTCCATTGAACTTTATAATTTTTAAGTCACAAAAACATAATTGCTGCTACTCAAGGAATAACCTTGGTATAGTAAAAGAAGATCTCAAGAAACCAACCTGTAAACCTAATTGAATAAGTAAATGTGGGACATTGGAAGCTTCTTCACAGATAAAAGAATTATAAGATAAAAAAGGAAAAACAAATATGAAGCTAGTGAATACAAAAATTGAACTATCTTTTTGTTGTGTTGCATTTTTCTTTGTTTATTATGTTTATATTTTATGTTAACTTTATATTATTATACTAGCTGTACCCAGCCATGCGTTGCTTGGCTAGGTCTGGTTAAATGAAAAAGAAAGAAAAGAGAAAGCGCACGTTTGTAATATGTTTA